TTCAGTACTTGAAGTGTATTATCTCCACGAGTCTTCATGTCGCTTAGTGAAGACAGCAAACGCACTGAGAAGAAATGTCTGAGAGGCAATTGCAGTTTCGCGTAGAGCTCTGATGGTGCATTTAAAAAGTGGAGTCAGGGGCTCCTGGGTGGCTGAGTCGGTTGAGTGTCCAACTTCGGCTCAGGTCATGATCTCGTGGTTCTTGAGTTTGAGCCCCACATCGGGCTCGCTGCTGCCAGCTTGTCAGTGCACAGCCTGCTTTGGATCCTCTGTCCCCCTCTCTCTGCCCCTCGCCTGCTTGCACTTTCCTAAAAATAAATATTTTACTTTATATTTTGTAATGTTTATTTTTGACAGAGAGAGAGAGAGAGAGAGAGAGAGAGAGAGAGAGAGAGAGAAAGTGTGTGCACATGCATGAGCAGGGGAGGGGCAGAGAGAGAGGGAGACACAGAACCCAAAGCAGGCTCCAGGCTCTAAGCTGTCAGCACAGAGCCTGACATGGGGCTTGAACTCATGGACCATGAGATCATGACCTCAGCTGAAGTTGGACGCTTGACCATCTAAGCCACCCAGGCACCCATCTCCCAAAAATAAATATTATCCAAAAATAAAAGTGGAGGCAGTACTTACTTTACAGATATTCTCATACACATGTGGAAAGATGGATGGATGAAGATCAGTTAGACATCGTAAAAGCAAGAGATTGGCTATAACATAAATGACCATTGATTAATTTATGGTACACCATTTAGTGGAATACTACATCATTGTTAAAAAGAATGAAGCTGCTTATGGATACCTTATTGAGAAAAAGCAAGATACAGGACAGTACATTTAGCATGCATTTTGAGGTGGAAAAAAGAATATAAATATAAGATTATACATCCATTCACTGCATATTTACAATACACTGCCTATCCCTGGTAGGACCATGGAAGGAACTGGCAAGCTGGACTGTCTTTAGGGAGGGAACTGGCAGGTGGGGGCAGACGTGTGGAGAGTTCTGGTTACTGTAGTGAGGTGTCTTGAGAGCACACACTGGGTTTAATTGTAGGTCTACCACTTATCAGCTTTGTGATGTCTGAGCCAGTTTCCTCCATGGTAAAATGGGAATGATCATAACAGTACCTACCTCATGGGGTTGCTATGGGGATAAATGAGTTAAAAATAGGTGAATGTTTATTAGAAGAGTGCCTAGGCCTACAGTGAGTGGAAGGATGTGCTACTGACGCTCTTCTGTACCCTTTGGATTTCGTGTAGTGTGTAATAATTAGCTATTAATGCAACGCAACTAATTGTTACAGGCAAGAAATGATTTCGGGGTAAATAACCTGACTTTTCCCCCAAAGAACGTAAATACTATGTGTGTGTGTGTGTGTGTGTGTGTGTGTGTGTGTGTGTGTGTGTGTGTGTGTGTGTGTGTGTGTGTGTGTGTGAGTGTGTGTGTGTGTGTGTGTGTGTGTGTGTGTGTGTTAGCAATCCCAATCACTTCTGCTTCTTCATGCTGAAGGGTGGAGTGTGTGTATTTGGCAGGGAGTGCACTGGGCTGGATCAAAGAGGTGTCTGCAACCTGGCACTGCAAAGAACAGCCTTCAGTACTCCTGTCCCACCCAGATTCTTCTTTTGTCCTGGTCAGGAGTGACAAACAAGGGAATGAACACACCTCTGGGGCAGACATCTGATCTCATTCATTCATTCCACAAATATTTACCAAAGATCCACTCTGTGTCACACCCAACAACAAAATGCACGGCAAACAGGGTCCCTGCTTTAAGATCTTACGTTTTAGAGGGAAGAGACAGATGAGGAGATGTGACAAGATTACTGCAGAGTGCTCTGAACAAACTAATTGGGTCATTGTGTCAGAAAGTGACATGTGTGTGTGGGGGGGTAAGTTGCATAGGGTGGCCCAGGATCAGGGGGAGAGGTCTTTCTGAGGGGTGAGGCTTGAACTGGGAGCAGGATAGTGATAAAGAGAGAGCCATATGAAGACAGGATGATGACGTGGAGGAACAGTGGACTGGGCAGAAGGAACTAGAACTGTAAATACAGAATACAGAAAAGAAGTGTGAGAATACAGAGAAGAATGGTCAAAGAATGGTAAGAGAATGGTTAAGGTGGCTGGAGTCTGATTAGCAGGTGGACAGTTAACTGGACAAACCTTATTAGCCTTCGTGGATGCAGGAAGCACAAACGTAGCCACTGTGTACATTGAAAAAGGTTTACAGTCAAAGGCAACCATTGGTTTTACGAAATGGTTGGAGCCAGTCTTTTCTCAGGCTAGTGTCCTAATCGTGCCACCTTTCTCCACACCCCCTTGCAGAGAAACCACAGGATTTCCTGGCTTCACTCTTCAAAACCGAATGTTCAAATTCCCTTCAAGTGGGGCCACGTGTGACCACAGTGCCATGAAACAGAAACCAGAGCTGAAACACAAAAGACATTTCAGAGCCGGCTGACAGCGTTTGCATCCCTGCTCTGGTCATTTGTTATCTGAGAGACCCAAAGCAGATCTTTCCACATTTCTGAAATCATGTTTCCTGAAGGTTTTGGAGAACACACATGCATAATTCTGAGGGAAATGTCTTAATCTATTCTTCAGTTCTTTGCCAGGCAAACGATGGGATGTATTGGTGGGGTGCCGGTGAACAGTTTAGAGAATTCAGTGCCATGGCTGACAGAAGGCCTCCTGCAAATGCTCCATCAGCTGGACCAGCAACACTGAGACATACTGCTCGGGTAGGAGGATTTGCCCCACACAGTCTTCCCCACACACAAGGAGGGCGCCAGGAGCTCGGCTTTAGGGAAGATGATGCCACGGGTGTGTGCAGGGCTGACTGAGCTTTGAAGGTGTGACTGAGTGAAAAAATCCCACTGCAGGACCTTCGTGTTTTTCTTAGAACTCTTGACTTGGTTCACCAGACAGACTACAACTACCATGAGGACAGAGGATTCAAACCCCATCGCTTCTTGGCCTTTTGGCTAAGATCAAGCGAGGATTCAAACACCAGGTCTACCCCATTTCCCCACTTTTTCTATCTGCTTCTCTCTGCAGGGGTGGTCCCAGAAATGTGAACCATGGCTACAGAAAGCTTTGGCAAGAGAAAACCTAGTTTCTGACCTTCAAGTGGAAAGTGCAGAAGAAGGGCTCTGATTGGCCCAGCTGGGGTGCCATGCCTATCTTTGCTCTAAGAGTGATAGCCTATGGGATGGGTCACTCTTGACTGTCCAGCGTGGGTCATCTGCTCCACTGCTGCAGCCAGTGCCCTTAATAGAAGACCAGGGCCAACAAGGACAGCATTTCGAAGCTCTGAGCTGTGCAGGGAGGAGGGGCCACAGGAGCAGTGGGACACAATTCTTATGCTGGACCTGTTGTGATTGGTCAGGGACAGCATTGATACTCCTTTGAAGACACTGCAAAACCAACCTTCAATGCGTGGGGTGGAGTTTCACAGCAGCAGAGAGAATGCACAGATGGCCGGTGTGTTTAGAGAGTGCAGTCCTGGGGGTGAGGGGAGGCCCTGGGTTGATGGTGAGACACTGGAGTGGATAGTTGGGAAGGAGGGCCTGGACACATGTGGGGAATAATGGTGAATTCTACACCATTATAGGTTCCTCCAATGTAAGAAATATTCAGCTAACAAATATTAGCTGAAATATTAGGGGAAAAGCCTCCACAGCCAAGTGAAGGGGACTTGACTCCCTCTGTCACCCTCTCCCCAGTGGCCTAGAGAAGGTCATGCATATTAGTGTCACCTAAGTGACTTTCTCATGGGATTCAGGGCCACACCATTTTGCCTCTGTCTCTGCCTGAGCTTCATTCACATTTACGGGTAGGTCCCTCAAACTTTGGTGTGCATATGACCATGGATAAAAGAAGGTCTCTGGGCCCATCCCAGTTGAGAAAGGGTGGTGGGCCAGTGGGTCTGGGATGGGGTTCAGGCATCTGTATTTTTAACAAGCTGCCCAAAGTGATTCTGATGTGGTTGGTGGTGCAATGTACCTGGAGGAAGGTTGCACAGGATAATGTCAGAAAAAGGAAGAGGGAATTGGCTACTTGTCTGTTAAAGGCTGATGTCCCATTATCTGCAACAGCCCTGGCTGAGCAGTCCTTTTAATCTAATGATAGAATGAGTGGTGGTTCTGGCAAAAGAAAAACCAAGAAAAACCGTCTCCTGCACAGGGGGATGGGCAGGGAGGAAATGGTTAGGAAGGGGCAGGTCAAAAATTAGGGAAATACAGATGCAGTGAGGGGAGGGGGAGAAAAGAGAGAGAGAGAAAATTCGTTCAGAAAGGCCACTTTATTGATGGAGATAAAACTGAAAGGAGCTTTCCATAGCCCTCCCTCACTCACTTCAGTGGTTTCACTGGGCGTCTGAGACTGGCGGGGGCAGGCGTGTGGCCAGCCAGCTCCTCGCTGCCTGCTCCATGTCAGGCGGCCACATCAAAACACATCACAGCTCATAAAGACTTGCAAATGCACCTCAGAATTCCCCCAATGGTTCCTGGCATTTTTTTTTTTTAATATTGTACAAAATATGTTAAGTAGGAAAGGTCAGCTGTGCTGTGACACCTACAGGACGTCCTTTTAGGATTACCGTCCCTGAAACATTACTTCTTATTGCAATGAAACCTCTAGAAGGTAGAGCTGTACAAAAAAAGGAAAAAAAAAATTCTAAACAATTTTATTTTAAGAAGAGCAGCAACTTAACACTGCTGTAGTTCATTTAAATTTTCTTTCTCAAAAATACATTCCTAAATATACAAACTATACAATCTTGTCATTTTAATGCTGGTTTTTTGTTGTTGTTGCTTTTTTTTTTTTTTAATAATAGAACCCAAACTAAAAAAAAAAAAAAAAAATCTGTTCGTCTTCACACCGACAAGAGCGCTAGAGGGCTTGTGACCCAGTACCTTCATATAACACCACATAAATAACTTTAGCCACAGTCTATGTTCACAGCGTGGTCAGTGGAACAAAGGAAATACTTTTCTGGCGATTAGACATCGTCTGCAGAGAGGGTCGGGATATTCATCCGAGGCTGGGTAAAAAATGCCATCTTCTCCCTGCAAAAGAGGCCAGCCCTTTAGACATATTATGGTCAGGATCATTCTTTGTTGTAGGGCTGCCTTGTGCACTGCAGGATGTTTAACGGCATCCCTGGCACCGTGTGTCAGCATCAGCTCCCCCCACCCCCTTCCAGTTGTGACAACCAAAAATGTCCCCAGATGTTACCAAAGGTCCCTGTGGTGCCCACGTCATCCCTGGTTGGGAACCTCTCATTGAGGGACATTGGCAGGACCAGCCACCTTCAATTCAAGTTATGGGCCTCTCTGAGTTTAAAAGGGTCCCTGGGTCATTTGTAGTGTTGTTTGTCTTAGATTCCCAGTTGCTTACAAAGTAAGAGATGTCCAAATACAATTACGCAAATGACAGTATATTTAAAATGTTTCTACTCCAGAAAGGCTTTTTTTTTTTTTTTTTAGCAGCACATACACAACCATGAGTGCCTTACCTGAGAGATATCATGAGTCTAAATGCAAGGCCCTCTGTGAATGGGAGGTCCCAGCCAAGTGGCATTTGGGGCCCTCCCATGATCTGGCTGGATCCAGGCAAGAAGATGCCTCCCTGAGACCCTGGCAGGCAGCAGGCAGAGCCAGGGAGGCCAGGCGAGCATCCGTCACCCCAGGCTTATGTATCATTTCAGCCAATCCTCCATAATGACTGGTAATGGAAATGCTAAGAGGAAAGGCCAGAGCAGGTGGCTCATTCATTAAACAAGAGGAGCTAACAAATTAGCTCGAGTTGTGTGGGGACTGATAAAGACAGCTGAGGGAAAGCACTGTGGAGCCCACAGAGTGCCAGGGATGGCTCAGCAGAGCATGTGCATCTGTCACAGGGAGAGCTGGTGCTCTGCCAGCGGAGGGGGCTCAGGACAGCGGCCAGTGAGACGGAGGCCAGATAGGCTGGGTGTGAAACGGTGGGGCCCACCTGCATACCTGAAAGACTGCACTTCCGGGGGCTCCTTACAGCTCTGGCCCCGAAGCCTGTGCACATCCTTGGCAGCTGCCCGCATCATCTTGTCTGTCTGAAGCTCACCCTTGTGCTCTGCTCGGTCCATCTGTAGGGCAAAGCAAGCAGGGCTGTGAGGTGGCACAGGGTCCTTAGGGCCTCTAGAAAGGGGTCAGCCAGAGAACACTTTCTAGCACAAATGAGGGGTCTACTATAGTCAAGAGGTCTGAGGATCGCAGAACAGACACACTCACTGTTTCTGTTCCACCAGGAACCTCTGCTCACAAAGGTGAGAAGTGATCCCACCGTCTGCCAGGGTGGACAGGTTTTGGGGGCCAGGGAGCTGAATACCCGTGTGGTATGGAGATGCGTGCTGCCTAGTGAAATGTGTGCTACCTTTCTAATCCTCAGGGTCACCTAGAAAGGTAACTATGATACTTACTTCTACGTTACAGATGAGGAAACTGAGGTTCGGGCATGTTAAGACATTTCTTTAATACCAAACACCTAAGAAGTGGTGGAAACACAATTCCAATCATGCAGCTGTGCCCAAGGGCTTTGGGAACATTGCACCCCTTCTTCCTAAGGCAAACCTACAGAAGCACTTTTGAGAATAAACCACAAAGAGCCCTGAAGTATCCATGTACCACATACTTGAAAACACTGCTTGATGATGGAATTTTGGTCAATGAAGCCATCATCTAAATGTTTCTTTAGTAGAAGGTCATTATCAGTCAGTCATGGATGTACTATTCTTTTGCTATTGAAAGGCCAAGTTTTCTTAACTGGTATTTTCTTAAGGCAGGGCACACAGGGCACATATGTACTTGTTTTCTTCTTCTTCTTCTTCTTTTTTTTTTTTTTTTGCCTTGCCAACCAGGAACCTCAAAGATAAATGTAATAGACAACTACAATTAAGTTAGGGATATGTTTATTTCCTTCTCTCCTTTAAAATGTTCTCTAACTTTATATTTTCCTGTAATGCTCTTATTATAACCCTATGATAAGTATACAGGGTATAAGTGGTAAATTAGAAATAAACATTTCTGGAACTAAAAAAAAATTTTTTTAATGTTTACTTTTGAGAGAGAGAGAGAAAGAGCACAAGTGGGGGAGGGGCAGAGACAAAGAGAAAGAGAGAGAGAGAGAGAGAGAGAGAGAGAGAATCTGAAGCAGGCTCCAGGCTCCAAGCTGTCAGCACAGAGCCTGATGTGGGGCTTGAACACACGGACCATGAGATTATGACTTGAGCCGAAGTTGGATGCTTAACCGACTGAGTCACCCAGGTGCCCCAATGTTTCTGGAACTTCTGAATTACCAGAGTCAATTTGAAGTCCTCAGGCCAGTCCAGACTTTAGAAGCTCACCACCACTTTCCTACTCTAAGGCATTATCACCTGTATTAAGAGCTGAGGCTTCAGCTAATGGCTCTCCCAACAATCCAGGCAAGTATCTTCTGTAAGGTGCTTTTTGCACGGTTTGGCTGTGAGCAGAGAAAACTAGCAAAGGTCATGCCTGCCATGGGTGACAGTCCAGGAGTGGCAGATAGTATATAAATGAGTTGAAAATGGACTCTGTGTATTGACCATATGTTGTTACTTCTTCATGACAGGCTGGGACCTGTCAGCTTACGAGCCCACTGGTGTCAAAGTCAAGTTTTACGCATCCAATTGCTTTATTTATTTGTTTATTTATTTGAAAGAGAGAAAGAGACAGAGACAGAGACAGAGAGAGAGAGAGAGGGCACACACGTGCCAGGGAAGGGCAGAGGAAGAGGGAGAGAGAATTCTAAGCAGGCTTCATGCCCAGCACAGAGCTCAACACAAGGCTCGAGCCCACAACCCTGAGCTGAAATCAACAGATGCTTAACTGGCTGAGCCACCCCCACCAACTGCTTTAAATGTAGCTCAGATTTTTTTTAGCCATTTAGAAACTGCCAGCTCTACATACCCCATGAAGCTGTACCCTTTGCTAGCCATTAATAAGATAAAGCCCAGGGTTATAAAAGACCCTAGGCCACTGCTGCTTTAGAGCTCTCTGAACTGGAAAGTCCTCCTGTGTTGCTGAGGGACAGCATCTAGATGCCCGTGCCCTTTCTCTACTGGCATTTCCCCTGCCCTCCTCCCCTCTAGGTGGTGACCCAGAGCAGTGGCCATGGGGAGTTCTCATGCTATGAGGGACTTCTTCCACATGCAAACTTGTATCTTTGGAGATACCCACTCTGTGGGACCACACTGGGCAGACACTGGGGCAGGTCAGCATTTTGTATTTACTCTATTAAAGTGTGTGTCCCAGCGCAGATTAGATACCCGATGTTTGATGAATATACATGTGAATAATAAGGCCTTGCACACATAAACAGGGAAATACAGCAAAAGGGTCTGGTACCCAGATCAAGAGTTAATAAAGTTTACTGGGCAAAGGGATTCCTTGGTCCCTTTGCTGATGGACATGGGGGGGGGGGCGCCCTGGGAAAACTCTCAGTGGGTCACAGGATTGTAGGAGCCATTCAAAGCTCTGGTCTCCCTCCCCTGCAGCAGCAGATGGTCCCCAGGGCAGAGGGAGCCATCTCCCTTGCCTCTTGCACAGCCCTTACCCGCTTCTCCAGCATCCTCAGCAGCAGACGGAAGCGCTCGTCCTCACGCAACCACTGTGGCAACTCCTTCTCCCCATGGCTCTTGGCTTGTTCAAGCTGCTCCTTGAGCTCCTTCAGCACTGAGATCTCCTGAGTCAGCTGGCTGTGCCAGGTCCTGGTCGCCTGCAGGTCTAGCTCAAGGTCCAGTGATGTGCGGATCAGGCGCTCAGCTCGCAAGGATTTGACGGATGAAGGCTGCAGGGGTAGGCATAGCTCTGACTGGTTATTAGAGGGCTGGGTTCAGTGAGCCCCTACAAACTGCTCCCCTGACCCTCAAATACCCTTTTGTGTTCAACCGCAGGCTTCCACTCCTTCAAAAATGGGGCTCGCCCTCCCCCAGAGCCTGTCGATTTCTCCCACTCCCACAGCTTATCTGTTGAGCACCTGTATGTCCCAGGCATGGCGCTGGGAGGTAGAGCTGAGATTCTTCCCCAGGCAGGTGGCTCCAGAACCACCTGCTCACCCTCCACACTGCCCGATTGCCCTGCTCTGTGCCCCGATTCACACTCGGCTCCTGGATTCTTGTCATTATCCTGCTCTGAAGTTGTTTCTTCCTCAGTGCAGGTCTGAGCTCACTTGAGGGCAGACATTAGGTCTTCTCAACTTTATGTTCCCGTAACGGATGAGTGTTGGTTCTGCTTGTCCAGCACTTGCTTCCCCTTGCAGTAACAGTGCCCTCATCTTCCCTTGGGGATCCACTCCTACTTCACATTCAACCTACATGGTGGTTCATACGGGACTTCAGGGACAGGATGTGACCCGAAACTTGGCAGTGAGAACCTCAGTGACTGTTTCAGGGGTGAGTATGTTATCTAAGCCTAGCCAATAACCTCCAGTACTGGCACTTTTGCTTAAAAAAAAAAAAAAGCCATGAAAAAAAGAGCATCCTTTACACACAGTTTGTTAAGCCAACAAGATATCAACCTGGAACTGATCGTGGCCATCTTTCCTACCATACGGTGTGACCCTTTTTAAGAATTAAGCTAGGGGTGCCTAGGTGGCTCAGTTGTTTGAGTGTCTGACTTCAGCTCAGGTCATAATCTCGTGGTTTGTGAGTTCGAGCTCCACGTCGAACTCGCTGCAGTCAGCACAGAGCCCACTTCGGATACTCTGTCCCCCTTTCTCTCCGCCTTTCCTCCGCTTGCACTGTCTCTCAAAAATAATAAATAAACATAAAAAAAAAAGAATTAAGCTATCTGGGGGGAGCAGTGCCATGAGAGGGGGACTGGGGCTTGAGGACACTCTCTCAACAAAGGATCAATTCATGCCTGCAGGTCCAGCATCCTGGGGTTTTCCACTAATGAGCCAGTGAATTCTCCTTTGCACTCTCCAGCTAAATTTGAGCTGAGTTCTTCTTATACCCATACAGATACAGTTATCTGTATGGACGAGATCCCCAGTAATACAACCGTTTCTTCTCCTTCTCTTATCACAAAACAATAATGATTTAAAAATGGCTGACTGAGGGAGGCAGAATTCTAAGCCAGCCCCAAGTTTCCCACCACCAACACCACCCCCTACCCCAGGCACGCCCTCCCTGTATAATGCCCCCTCTTCAGTTCAGGGCTGGGGGCACCTGTGAATACCATGGGATAGCACTCCCATGATTAAGGGGTGACTTTCCTGGTGGGCCCGACCTCATCCACTGAGGCGAACTGGGCCCTTTCTGGAAAGAGATCTCCTGCCGGCCTTGAAGAAGCAATGTGTGTTGTGAAAAGGGCCACATGGCAAGGATGTGAGGATGACTTTTTCATCCATTTCCTGCATCTAGCAAGAAAAGACAAGGGATTCTGCCAATGTCCCGGGGGAGCCTGGAAGTGAATCTTTCCCTACTCAAACTCCAGATGAGGATGTAGTCTGCCAACACCTAGATTTTAGCCTGATGAGATGCTGAGCAGAGAATCCGGCTATCTGTGCCTGAATTCCTGACCTGTGGAAACTATGAGATCCTGAATTTGTATCGTTTTAAGCTGCTAAGTTTGCTGCGATGTGTTATGCAACAGAAACCAAACATAATGACTAACAGATTGATCTGAGAGATGGCACATAAGACATTACTGCCAGAGCTGAGCCATCCTCAGTTAAGGCTGGCAAGCATACTTTTGGGACCGTGAAACAGCTCAGTGCACAAGTTCAAGTTCTTTAATACCCTTTGAGGGAGACCATCATCTAGTGTGTGTTCATAAAGGAGCAGGGTCAGGAAATTCAGTTGAGTGATCTGTGTGACTCAAGTTCTCAGAGTAACTCATGAGGCTCTTTTGCTTTGTTCTGACTGATGTCCAGCCTTGGAAACCTGCCTGGACAGGCCGAAGCAGAGAGAGACAGAGCTCAGGCAGCAAGGGGAAGAAGGATTGCAGGACCCAAGGGCCCTGGCCCAGCCTCGGGACTCTCCTGCCTCTCAGAACAGAGTTAGGATCTGAAGGAAACGTGGGCTCAGATCCAGCAAGGGTTCTGTCAGGAAGTCTTCCCATTGGCTAAGGGAAAAAGAGGTGAAGAGGGGGAAATTGTGCAGGCCTGTCTTGACACGGAGTTGTAGGAAGCACAGGGGGAGCAGGTAGGAGCTTCCATGGAGGCCTTTCTCCAGGTGTGGATCATGAACACCTGCCTTATCAAAATGCAGTTTCCAGGACCCCACCCCAGCTACCGAATGAGACTGTCTGGGAGTGTGGCCTGGGAAATGTGCACTGTCAGGAACCTCCTTAGAGGACTCTTGGTGCTCCAGAGACCCTGCAGCACCAGACAGGGCTGGAGGAGGGGGGCCCCAGGTGGGCGGTGGGCCATCCCTGTCACCTGAAGCCATGTCCACAGGCCCCTGCCGCCAACACTTTTGCCCTTCCCTGTGGCCTTCTTTCTCCTGTGCTCTCTAGTTCTTTCTGGAGCCTTGGGGGGTGGTGATGATAGACAAAGGTCCTATTCCTGACTCCTCTGTCTGCAGCAGGTCCGCAGGAACTTCCTGTGCTTGGTGCTGCTGGTACTCTCTCTCCCTGCATGTTCTTTTCGCTTTGCACCCTCTGCTTGTCTTTCTGACATTCTAACTCCTGCTTCTTCTGGTTCTGCAAACTCACCAGAGCTGCTGTAGACTCTGTGCTGAAAGCCCAGAGTGGGAAGGGTTGTCTGCATCCCCTACAGCTCTGACTGGTAACAAAGTCCATACCAGGAGCCAGTCCTTTGCCTAACACCACTCGGTCCCCATCCCTGAGCCAAGCCTCCATCAGGCAAGGTAGGACCTTCTCTGCAAAGGCAGCTCATGGCCTCTCCCTAGTGCTCTTCCAGCTGGACTGAGAGAAACCCATTTGCACCTCCCCGTTCCCGGTTGCTGCTTGGAGGTGTCTGGCTTCTCTGCCAGCAGGGAGGGCTGTCAGAACCTTTGCTCGGTCAGCTGGATGTCACACTGAGCAGAGTGGAGCAAGGGGCAGGCTTCCATCAGTGACTGTGAGATTTTGAGTTGGTTAGCTCTTAATGACTTTGATTTCTACCCTGGAAGATAAGGCCAAGTACCATACTCTGAATCTAACCTATCTGTCATCATAATAATGTTACATTTACAGTTTGGAACCTTCCCCAGTGCCTACACAGGCTTTACAGTTGGTGAACACCATCAGGCTTGCAAAAGCAACATTGTTCAAACCGGTGGCTGAAAAGAAATGGTCAGACATGGGGGTTGTGCTCGTGAGGGGTGGGAATGATGGCGGAGCAGGTGTACAAACGGCTTTGAGGTGACTGTCTTACCCTCTTCATCCGGACACTGCGCCGCTCCAGGGAGTTTCGAACAAAAGGTGGCTTCTTGGACAGCGTGGAGCTGTCACTGTCACTTCGGTTCAGCTGCAGGAAAAAAGTCCTGGGAAGTTAATTGGGGCCAGAGTACATCTGGAAGCACGCTGGGGCCAGAAGGGTGTTGGGGTTCCCGTGTGGTTGGCAGCACAGTGGGGCTGACACCAGACAGTGTGACGCCAACATCTCATGCCCCCCGGACCTACGACACCAAGGCCTGTTCGCATCCACTGTTCCCTGTCACCTGTAGAGCCTGCCTTGATGGCTCAAATGGAGCGGCTGTCAAGATACATGAGAAATATGAAATATGAGATAAGACCGGGCTCTGTGAGCTCCTGCCCTCCTCAGATTCCCTTCAATCACTCAGTTATCTGGACTCTCCCCAGAGGGCTAACACTCCCCCTCCACGGCCAGAGATCAGGAAGGACGCTTTTCTACTGAGAGTGCCCCAGACAGCGGAGGGCTGGAGAGGGAGGCTGGAAGGGCAGCCCAGCCCAGGATGTGCAGGGCACAGGCTTCTTTCTCAAGTCACATTTCCGAGGTGGTGGGATGGCCGCAGGCAGATGCCGCAGAGCCTGTTTGTTCCGGCAGGCAGCTGTCTGCTCACTTCTCAGGCCTCTCCCGAGTGTTTGTGTCAGTTGCTTTTGTGGTTACAGATAAGTACTAGTGATAATGATATTAATAGTCCTGCAGTGCAGATGCACACGGACACGGGCAACCCCAGGGATGTAACTGACAAAAGCTACTGCAGGAGGCAGTCTTTACAGAATCAGAAACAGAGTAACAGTAACAATACATGCCATGTGCTTTATGGACAGTTATATTTAATCCTCAAACAATCCCAATGGAGGGAATTGAGACCCGGGAAGATTAAGACACTTTTACAAACCACATGGCTGGGGAGCATCAGGTTCAAGAGTTCAAGTTCCAGTCAATCTGACTCTAAGGCTGGGTCCCCTCCTGGTCCCCAGGATGCATGGAGGGCTCAGAGATAAAAAGGATCTAGAGAAGGAGGGGTGGGCCATCTTGACTGGGGTGGATTTGTACAAACGGACTAGCTGGATTTCATACCAGGAGGGGGCTTTGGCCCACACTGCTCCAGGCCAATGGTGACACTCATGGAATGTGTGTGATACCAACTAGAAACACTGATCAGGACAACTGATCCTTATGTCATAGTTGTTCTGGGACTAAAGATGATGTTAGAAAAGAGTGATGAAAACTACATTAGGTCCTTAGCCTTAATTTTTCCTTATGTGAAGATGTTTCGTTGCATTTACTCTCAGACATGGTAGAGAATACTGTTGCTTTATTATTTCCATGTAATGGTTAGGGACACTAGGAACAAAGAGGTGAAATAATTGACAGTTCTGGGCAGCTAGTTCAGGAATGAGAATTTTGGAAGGCCTGTTTTCATCAGGTCAGGATGAGCCAACCAACACATGTGACAACACTGCTGGTGATTGTGCAAGTGTCAAATACACAGGGGTCGTGGAGAACTGCAGGGAGTGGAACACATTGTCCCTATGCTCATGGACTTCAAGTTCAGTAGGAGACCAATCCAGGGCAACTAACCAAATGACACAGGCTGTGCTGATGACCAAAGAAGGGAGATACCCAGCAGAGGACACTTGGTGTGCAGAAGTGTGGCATCAGGCCAGCAAAGTAAACTATTCCTATGTACCCTGGGAGAGGGCAAGGGAAGTCTTTGGGAGGTAGCTCTGAGTAACAGAAGGGCTGTGGGCTCTAGGGTCAGACCCCTGGATTTGCAGCTAATAAGCTGTGTGACCCAGAGGACAGTACTCTGACTTTCTGAGTCTCAGTTTCTGCATCTGTGAAATGGGGTAAACATGATTTGCCCTGCAGAGTTGTTGCTGAGATTAGATGACACAGAAAATGTTTGTTTTGTAAGGAAATGGTGCTTATTAGCATTTGCAATTCCATTCCATGGGTGGGGAAATCCCCACCTTCTGACTCACAGTAGGAGACAAAGCCCACCTTCCACTAAGGAAGCTGGAAGCGCCAAAGTCTTGCTTTCCCGGTCTCACTTGCAGCTAGAAGCAGGCGTGGGACTAGGCTCTGTCCATTGCATGCAACTGCCCAGGCTTTCAATCATAATCTGGCTAGCTGGACCCAATGCTGTTACTGTGCCTCTCAGATTTCACCAGACCACTTGCTTTTGTTCAATGAGCGTGCCCTTTCTGGGAGTATCTCAGGGAGAAGCCATCCCTGGTGAGCAGTGGTGCCGCAGCAGCAACCACAGCTCCCCTGGCCTCCTATAGGGTCAGGACTCTCAGGGGGAGGGATCGATATTGAACCCTGTGGCAGGAGTGGGACCAGCTGGGCCACGTCTGGCAGCAGCACTGGTATTATCCTCACTAGACTGGTTTTGTGGGATGATTTTAGCTGTGGTCTGGCCTGCCCCTCTTCCTGCCTGATTTCTGAGGCTGGTTCTACAACCTTCCAATGAATATGTGAGCTCCTCAGTTTCTTTTCCAGGAAATTCTTTCCTGCATATACTGCTCACAGTGTGTTTCCACTGTTTGCCATTAAGAACCCTGATTGGCACAGGACTTGATGGCAGGAAGTGGAGTGCCAGAGTCCCAGACTGGAAAACATGGAGCTGGCTGTGTACTGGGGGCAGGCTGGGGCACAGACCCCAGTATTTCCTGTGGGGAGTGTGGTGATATTCATTTTGTGGGTTCAAAACAGAGGGTTAAGTTGTCACCAGACCTCATGCCATCAGGGTTTTCAGGGAAGTGATAGGGAAAAATTCAGGATGTTGTACCACTGGCCTCTTTTTGCAGCCTTCAGTAAAATTTTACAAGAAAGAGACAACCTGCGGCTGAAGTGACAGTCAGAAAGCAAAAAGGAAAAATACTGGCATCCCTGCTTTTTGAAAGTGCATGTTACGCCACTTTGCTTTTACAAAAGACCTACATTGGTGCCTGTTTTCACTAGTTGAAAGACATGTGAAGGAGGATTTTTACTTTCGTGAAAAAGGCAAAAAGATAAAACAACACCTAGTGTTTCTTTTGCAGTGAGCCCTCATGGAGGCAGCGGCACCCTGAATGTGACAGGGGCACCTCTGAGCTCCTTCCCCAGGACCACACCGAGCATCTCAGCATCAGGCTGCCACAGCCTTGAACTGTGTCTGTGAGCATCTCCATTAATTCTGCACATCTTTTAGAAGGATGCATCGTAAGGCATCAGAAAAGCCTAAGAGAGGTTATTTTTTAGGTCTGGAAGGGCTAAAAACATTTTCCACAAAAATTAATGGTAATTGCTTCTCTGCTTTATGCCACTGTGGTGTTGCCATACGAAAGGCCCTTCCCATCTGTTGCATGTGATGCATGCTGCCTAGGAATTTCTTAATTTGCAGCCTTGCCGGGTTGGAAACTAGTCCAGATAATGAAATATGGGAAGGGCCCACCGTCATGCTAGGTGTGTTATAGATGCTTAATAAATAGGATCAGAACTCCTTGTTATGTGAAAATGCCAGTCCTGAGAAAGGGCCGCTGAAAGGGAGTCCATCCAAACAGGGGACCAGAATCTTACTAGTAAGTACTGGGGAAAAAACTTTGAGACTTTAGTTGGAAAAGAGAAACACTTTACAGGAGTTATTACCTTCTATCTTCCATTTGACAAAATTACAACTGCGTTCGAATTCTGATGAAAAAGAATGAATCAATCATTTCTTCTGGTGTGATTTTTCTGTCAAGTGACATTCTTCACTTTGTGTTTGAATTCCAGGGCACAGTCACAAAAACAGCAATTTTGCCAAAACCAGAGGGTGTTCTCCATTACCCTAAGGGCTTTTCTAAATCTTTCAAATTATTCACACTTGCAGCATGAGTTGGGATTTTTCTCTTCTTCAGCTGTGATTCAGGAATTCCTTAACATCAAACTTACATTCAGTGACTTCAGGAAACTCTGTACCTTTCTCAAGATAGGCAGCCAATGGGCAGATGCTGACAAGCTCAAACGATTAGCTAGAGGCTTGACACAGAAGGGAGGGGTTTCTGTTATTTCTAGGAGGGACGTGGGGAATAACTGGCAAGTAGCTAGTAAGTTGGTTACAGTGCCATATTATGAAAAAATTAGCTTCTCCAATATAATTCTGGCTTTGGATACTGAATATCAGACATCGAAGATATCCCTTGGGGCACCTGGGTGGCTCAATCGGTTAAGTGTCAGGCTCTTGATCTCAGCTCAGGTCACAATCTCACAGTTTCGTGAGTTTGAACCCCACATCAGGCTTTGTGCTGACAGTGCGGACCCTGCTTGGGATTCTCCTTCTTTCTCTGCCCCTCCCCCATTCACACTCTCTCTCTCCCAAAATAAATAAATAAGCTTAAAAAAAAAAAAAAAAGGGAAGAAGAAAATGCCCCTCAATATCCCCTCCCCTTCCCAAATAACATAGATGGTTAATTGACAGGTTGATGCAGGCGGGTTCCATGGGCCTTTCCTTCTGTGATGACTTACTGGAACACTAGACAAGGAAGGTTCTGCTTATGCTTCTAGTTGTTGTTCGCTGGTTCTCTGTGCAGAGGGGAAGGAAGGATGTTGACATACCACTGAGCCCAGGACTCAGGTAAGGTGTGCATGTGTCGTATCTGTGCCATCCCTGAGGAAGGTTGGGAACCCCTGAGACGTGGTAAGCGCTCAAACCCTTCACTTACAGGATGAAAGATGGAGGCTGGCCTACAAGGGGCAGACTAATGAGATAGACAGGTAAAGGCATGAGGGAAAGAGCCTCCTGCAGGATTTCTGAACTTCAGGGCAGCCTATAGGAGAAGGCTAGCAACCAAAATAGGTAAAGAGGGCCAGGTGGCCAGAGGGAACTTGAAAGCTGCTCTTCTCCAATCATCTAAGGGAAGCTGCCCCACTGCTTAGCTCCAGCCAGCTGTTGCCATGAGACAATGTGTGGCCCATGGTGCCAGACAGTTTATTATTTTTTTTCAAGAGAAACTAGAATTTTATGTTAAATGTCTTCATTTTTACTTCATATTTAATTGCCTTCCCTAAGTTTTCAGTGTTGGCAACAGGTTCAATTAAAACCAAACTTGTGACTAAATGGTACGGGCATGTTGCCTTTTTGCAACCTCGGGCTGCACACCGGATCGCCATGGGAGTGGGGAAGAAACGCCAGCTCAGGGATGGTGAGGGGTCAGTCTGACCTCAGCAAGCAGTCATGTAGAAGGGAAGGGCAGGATGTAAACAAGGAGGGAAAAGTTGGTTGGAATTATTAAAAATTGGCCACGTACTGGTTACCAAGCTTTTCCTACACTTTCTCTAATGCAGTCCCTAAAACAATCCTTTGAAGTCAGTCTATTAATTCCACATGAGGTGAGGTATTAACTTGCATGAGGATACCTGACAAAGTGAGGGTAACCAGAACTTGCACCCAGAACTCTGTGAGGCTGAAAACACTCACCACTCTATGGGAAGCAGGTACTCTGGGAGGAGGGCAGTACCATACATTTGCTTACCCGGCACACATACTGGCTTTGGGGTCCTGGGGAGAAGGTCTTAGAGCGGATAATGGTGCTCCCTCGAAGAAACGGCCCTGGGGATGGTGTGCCCACCCGTCGGTCCTTGGGCCGCACCACTGTGGGAGATGAGGCCGGGGTCTCTGTGTTGGTCTCTTTGTCCACCTGAAGAAGAAGTCAGAGCTTTGAGGCCACTTGTATCCACAGAGTATCGGCCACCCAGCCCAAGACTTGTGGGGCTGACTCCCCAGCCATCCCCATTCCTGTCATGTGGACTTTGGCCCACAGACATAGTTGGGGGCTTCCTAGGCCCTGGCCCTGCCAGCGAGGACAGTGTCCAAGGCCCCAAGTGCTGGCCCCTATTCCTCCATGACTCCTGTGGGCTGGAGCACATTCAGTCCCCAAACAAGCTCACGTGAGCAGTATATGGATGGATGTCCTCAACTTCATACCCTCAGGACTTATATGCCAACCACATTTTGACAAAGCCACATCCAAGGCCTCCCCTGCTGCAGCCAAGTGCTTTCCTGGAATTTTGGAGGCAACCTGCAAATCTCCTATTTTAAACTAGGCGTTCAGGTTTTCTACCATCCTTTCATAGTTACTGGCAAAAGACAAACGACAACATCTAAATGCAGGGTCCTGTTAGCCAAGACAGTGCTTTCTAGAATTTTGAAAAAGGTGCCTGCTTTGGCTGGAGAAATTATGGCCTCTTGGTGGGGAGCCGTTGGAAGGCAGCCCTAAGTTCTTCTCCAGCCCCTCTTGGCCAGGTACCTTTGTGCAGTGCACAACTTGCAACTCCAACCCTGCCTGCACACCATGGGGTGCTCTATTTCCTGCCGGTGGAAAAAACAGAGAGACCTCTATGGAGAGTGAAGCTGGTTATAGTGTGTAACCCTAAGTGCAGCAGGGAAGGAGGTGGTGAGGGGAAACTGACTGGACTCCTTTTTCCTAGTGTACTTTGGGCAGATCCAAATGAAGAAATACATTCTTCTGAAACCTCAGAGCTGGTCTGCAAGGTCAGTATTATGGTCTCCATTTTAGAGATGAGCAAATGAAGGCTGGAGAGGGATGAAGGCACCTGCCTAAGACTACACAGCAAGAGGGTAGCAGAGCCAGCATCTGAACCCAGACTCATCTGGCTGCCAAGCTTTAGGTCAGTCCAGAGAAACAGGGGAGCTGTGGAAGGCAGGAGAGATGAGGGGAGAGCCAGCCTCCTGTGGTTCACTGTCAGAGATGACCCCAAATACAGGCAGGACACTCCTCTGCAACCTTCTGCAGGTCACCCTGTCCTGAGGGCCTGTCCCCTGATGATGGAGGAGCATTTTCGGAATGCCTGGACTCAAGCACTGAGGGCTATTTCTCCAAGACAGCCCTTCCTGCCTCCCTGGCTCTGCCTACCTTTAATGCTGGGCACTCATCCCTATGCGGCAAGGCTTTCTCAGCGAAAACATCCTCCTCTCCCTCCTCCTCTTCCTCCTCTGCTGCTTCGTTCTCGCTGGTCTCCTCGTACCTCCTGTGATGACAAAGAGCTTTGGTTACCTGCCCAGAGACCACTCTGAGCTGCTCACCTATCTTTAAATGTACCCAGGGCAGGGCTTCCAAGCCTTTTCACAACCGAGGACACATTTAAACAAACCAAAAAAATTAGTGAGGTCTAATTGACATACAACAAAATGCATTCTTATCACTGTACAGTTTCATGAGTTTTGACCCATGTATTCCCCTGTGTAGTCATTGCCACACTTGAGATACAGAACATTCCATCACCCCGAAAGGTTTCTTGTACCCTTTCCTATTTAATCTGTCCCCATCCCAAGCCCGCCACTGATCAGCTTTCTGTCACTACAGATTGAATCTGAGTTTTCTAACATTTCACATACATGGAATCAGAAAGTGTGTGCTCTTTTGTCCCTGAACTATGTTGGTGCCTGTTCACTTCTTTTTATTGAAGAGTAGCATTCCCAATAGGATGGACAGATCGCAATTCAGATAGCCATTCATCAGGTGATGAACGCTTGAATGACTTCCATTTCTTAGCAGTTATGAATAAAGCTTCTTAAAGACATTCACCTACAATTCTATGTAGAAACAGGTTTTCACTTCTCTTGGCTATTGTATTAGTTTGCTGGGGTTGCCACAGCACAATACCGCAGACTGGGTGGCTTAACGAACAGAAATTATTTCTCACAGTTCTGAAGGCTAAAAGTCCAAGATCAAGATGTGGACAGCTTTGGTTTCCTCTGATGCCTCTCTCTCTGGCTTGCAGATGACCACCTTCTTGATGTCCTCAAGTGGTATTCCCTCTGTGTGCACATCCCTGATGTCTCTCTGTGCCCAAATTTCCTCCTCTTACAAGGACAACAGTCATACCAGATTAGGACCTACCCACATTTTGATGGCCTCATGTTAACTTCTTCATTTCTTTTAAGGCCCCATCTTTACATTACAGTCACATTCTGAGGTATGAGCAAGGGTCAGGGCTTCAGCATATGAATTTGGATGGGCAGGTGGGGACACAATTCAGACCGTAACAGATGTATACCGAGGAGTAGAGCTGGGTCATACAGTAAGTATAGGTTTACCCCTTTAAGAAACTGACAAATTGGTTTTCCCACCGACAATATTATGAGAATTTCAGTTCCTCATCTCTATTTGCTATTGTCAGTCTCGAAGTTCAGTCATTCTGCTGGGGGTGTGTTCATAGCTCATTGTGGTTTTAATTTGCACTTTCCTGCATTTACTGACCATTCGTATATTTTCCTTCGTGAAGTATCTGTCAGAGTATGTAGCCTGCTTTAAAACTTGGGTTGTCATTTTATTACTGAGATGTCAGAGTTCATTACATCTCCTGGATATGAACTCTTCGTACATATTTGCTCCACGTCTGTGGCATGCCTTTTCATTTTCTAAATAGTATCTTCCAAAAAACTTTGGTAGTGATAAAGTCCAACCTGGCAAGTTTTTTTTCTTTTATGATTTGTGTTTCTTCTGTCCTGCCTAAGAAATCGCTGCCTGTCTCAAGGTTACAAAGAGTTTCTTTTATATTTTCTTTTAGTAGTTTTATAGTTTTACTATATGATCCATTTCAGATTAATTTTTGTATGTGGTGCTCAAAGGTTTTATTCTATATGGATATCCAATGGTGTTCTGGTACCATTTGTTGCAAAGAGTTTATTTTTGGTGATATCTTTCACAATGATTCTTTCCCTTCAGACTCCAGGGTTGGGAGGAGTTCTTGTGGCAAAGGGACTGCATTTGTTAATTGCTAATTTTTCTTTGGTCCCATTTTTACTTCTCAAAGACATACATAACTGCCAGACTTCTGATCAGCAGGAGACAGAGTTGCCATACTGAGTCAAAGGAATTCCAGCCAAAAGCAGAGAATTGGACATCCAGTAAGCTGGCTCAGTGAGACTGTGGACAAAAATAAAATCTCCCTTGGGATTTTCCTGATGGGGAGAAAAGATCTTGGATCTGCAGCCCCAGTCGCTGGACCAAAACCTCCCCTGTTCTTAGATGGGGACCAGTGCTAACAGAGACTCCTTGCTCTCCCACTCTTGCTTCACATCATCTTGATCTACACATAAAAGGACCACTGAACATGGGAACACACAAAGAGCACCTCCCTAAGAATATGGCAGATGCCACACTGACCAGCATTTAATGAAGGCTTACTAAGCGCCAGGTGCTATGCTAAGGCCTTACAACAATACTGAAAGCAATTATCGTCTCCATTTTACAGATTCAAAAGCTGAGGATCAGGCAGTTGAAAGGCCTTGTCTCATGTCACAGACCACGAAGTGGTACAGCCAGGTTTCCAATCCAAGGCTGTCCAACTCCACTGTAAGTGCTTAATGACTACGGAAGTCTTTTCTTTTTGACCGGAACCTGATCTAAAGATTTCTGGAAAGGAAAAAAAAAAACAAAACTCAATTGTAGAGAAAAATGATTAAAGTAGACATCTTTTCACCCTTTAGAGTGGCAAAATATATAGATATCAGATAATATCAAGTGCTGGTGAAGGCATGGAAAATAGGCATATCTCCGCAGGGAATAGACATCAGAGCAGCCAATTTACACTCTGAAGTCACTTTAGCAGTATCTTCTAAAATAAAACACGTATGTATTCTTGATTAAGTACTGTAGTTAGATTATATTGAGTATTGGAGAGGGTGTAGCTTAAGGGTCCTTTTACTCGCTGCTGGTAGGAGCATTTGCTAGTACAATCTTATTTGAGAACTATTCTGCAATGCCTATTAAAATATAAAGCACACATGCCCTGAGGCCCGGCAATGCTATTTCTCAACCTCTGCCCTAGACAAACACACACATGTTCTCAAGGAGGCAAATACAAGGACTTTCACCCTAGCATTGTGATTATATTCTCTTTTCTTTTCTTTTTTTTTTTTTTTTTTTTTTTTAATTTTTTTTTTTTTTTTCAACGTTTATTTATTTTTGGGACAGAGAGAGACGGAGCATGAACGGGGGAGGGGCAGAGAGAGAGGGAGACACAGAATCAGAAACAGGCTCCAGGCTCCGAGCCATCAGCCCAGAGCCCGACGCGGGGCTCGAACTCAGGGACCGCGAGATCGTGACCTGGCTGAAGTCGGACGCTTAACCGACTGCGCCACCCAGGCGCCCCTTCTCTTTTATTTTCTAATACTCTTAGAATTTTGTTTTGCTTGTGGATCTTAAAAAAAAAAAATCCAGTCTTGTGATTATATGCACTAAAGAAACCTAAGAAAATAAAAGGAGGGAGTAACTATGGTACCCTGGCCCTTGGGTGCTGAGAAAGAAGGAGTGGAAATTAGCACAGAGGGCCAGTCTTTGGGGGACCTCCACACATGACTCTGGAGTGGAGCAGGCACAGCAAACCTAGTTAACATTCCAGGACCAAGAAAGCCATGGCACACCTCTTGATCTAGGGGGGGGGGGGGGTGCTGTGGATGGATTTACTCCAGTACAGCAGCTCTGGGATTCCCAGTCCTCTTTGTAAGTCAGTGTCTAGGGAAGTTTGAATGGCAGGGGTGGGGAGAGAGGGGGCCACAAAGGGATAGAGAACAGAAGGCAGTTGCTAGGGGATGGCTTGAAAAGTCTCACCACAAGCTTGGAATTTGGCAGAAACCACTGATCTTGTGCCAGGGTTTTGGAACACAGGTCCTGGGCCTTTCCGGCATCAGACCTTTGCACAGCCTAGCCTAGCACAGCAGTGTGCCACAGAGAGTTAGAGAGAGAGAGGGAGAGGAGAGAGGGAGAAGGAAAGGGGAGGTAGAAATGAATGTAAAGAGAGAGGAAAGAGGGGGAAAGAAAGGGACACAGGGAGGGAGAAAGAGAGAAAGAGAGAAACTGAGATAATTTAGAGAGAGCCCTAAAACAAACAAATGAACACATAAAAATTCAGGGACCTTACCCCACCCTTTATCACATGGAGAAATAAACAGTAAAAGAGAAGTGTGCCTGTGGGCCATATCCAGCCTACCGCCTGTTTCGGACAGCCCAAGCTGTGAATGGTTTTTATATTTTTAAATGGCTAAAAAACACAAACAAACAAACAAAGAATGATATTTCATGACCTGTGAAAATTACACGAAATTCAAATTTCAGTGCCCATAAGTAAAGCTTCAGTGGTGGGGACATGATGGCAAGTATCATCTACAGATACTTTGATGCTGTAACAGGAGGGCTGAATAGATGCACCAGAATCCACAGGGCCCACAAAGCAGACATTTACTATCTGGACCTTTCCAGAAAACATTTGCTGACCCCCTTCTGAGACCAAATGTATAACTGGAGGCTGTAACAGAATAATGCAGAAGAGCTACTGAGTGCTTCCCATGGGACAAAGTCTGTGCTAAGTGCTTATCTTATCATGTATAATTCCATTGAGTCTACAAAATACCCCATGTGTTGTAGACACTCATTAAATCTGTATTTCACAGAGGCAGAAATGGAGGTTTAAAGTCATTGTTCTCGGCCCTGGCTGCACATTAGGATCACCCAGGGAGCTTTTAAAACTTACTGATGCTCAGGCCTCACCCAGACCCAGGGTCCCACAGGAAGCTGGTTGAGTAAGACTCAGAATCCCTATCTGTCTGAATTCAGAGCACGTGCACTTAAGCCCAACTGTACTTCCCCCAAATGGCAAATTCACAGGCTGTGGTCATTTCTGAGATGGGATTCGCCTTCTCCCTTCCTAGCTGGGAGCTGGCGTTCCTTCTCATTTCCTGAATGATCATTTCTACCATCTGTTGGGTGTCCGCTATGAGCTTTGCGCTTTATCTTCATTATAGTGGCTTTTCCTTTAATGGTCTGCAGTAAGTCCACTCAGTCAGTGTGACGTCCCACTTTTCCAGACGAGGCTCAGCCAAGGTTAGAATGACTGTCCTGACAGTGGCTGCCCTTGTGGTGGAGGGCAGCGACCGGCCCAGACTGGCCTTCCAGAGAGCCAGTTATGCTCTGCCTCTTGATGCGGATGCTGGTCACACGGGTAGTTTGGTTTCTGAAAATTCACTGAGCTGTACACTTAGGGGAACTTTTGTGTGTTGTGCCACGCCGCAAGAAAAAGTTAAAAATGCTTTGCCAAAGGTTACACAAAAAACCATGAAGCTAAGATTTGAATCCTGGTCTATACTATTTTTTCCTAAATGTGTACTGAGACTTTTCTTTCAGGATACAAGAGACTAAGAAGCACTGAACCACACAGACAGAACGCTGTCTCCAGTTCTTCTGTGGACACTGAGGAGAAGTCTCTCTCTCGAAGCATGTCTCTAATATATCTGGAGAGAGAAGACCTCAGGCCTGGAGCCTTAGCAAGCAATACGTCTAGGTGGGTTTTAATGCTCTTGCTTTATTTTCATTACATTTAAGTTTTCCAGTTACCTTCTGAGGCAGACATGGCTCATGGTCTCCCCAGTATCCATTTCTACTTTCTTAGTAACAGAACCCTGATTTTTGTATCCCTTGCAGTTAGGTAGGCCAAATGGCTAAGCTCAGACAGTGAGAACCAAGCAGAAACTGCTGGGTGGGACTTTGAGGAATGCTCCTTGGTTAAAAGGCATACAGGCACATTCTTTTGTCTTTCCTCTTTTCTGATGCTTGCCTGATGGTTGGTGACTCAGCAGCCATTTTGAGCTACAAAGAAGCCTCAGTGATGGCAGTCACCCAGTAGGAAAAGCAAAGCAGAAATAGAGGAGGACACTGGGTTCCCTGTAATGCCAAGGAGCTGACAGATGAGGCTTGGATTGCTTCTTCCCATTCTTCTTTTTAAGTAACAAAGCAATAAACTATCTTATTTAAGCCTATTATTTCTCCTCCCTGTTCCTAGCAGTCAAATGAAATTCCTTATTGAAACATCTTCAATTTATGGCAGATGATATTTACTTTCCATTTATAGTAATATAATTTTTTTTTTTTTTTTTTTTTTACCAACATAAATGTGAGTCAAGTTAGGCACTAATATGTGACCTAGCATGAGTGATTTATAGCTCACAAAATGACACACTGAGAAGAAATTTTGGGAACTATCATACCAGGCTATACACAGTTGATTTTGGAACAACATGGATTTGAATTGCACTAGTCCACTTATATGTGGATTTTTTTTTTTTTTTGAATAATTACTTCTGATTTTCTTAACATTTCCCTTTTTCTGGTTTATTATAAGAATACAGTATGTCACACATACAACATACAAAGTTTATATTAATGGACTATTTATATTATTGGTAAGACTTCTGGTCAACAGTAGACTATTAGTAGTTAAGTTTTGGGGGAGTCAAAGTTCTGTGTAGATTTTGGACCATGCGGTGGCTCAGTGCCCCTAGCCCCTGCGTTGTTCAAGGGTCAATTGTACTGCCTTGTTGCCTATAGAGAACCCATGAGGAGAGAGGGTCTCTGTCTTCCCAGGGGAACACTTCTCTTGGTTGCCCTGGAGTTTGGGGAGCTCATTCCTGCATCCAGGTCCAAGCCAGATCAGTTCCTGAGGCCCAAGTGAGCCCTCACTTACCAGCTGTCTTCCAGGGTCTGTGTGTTGATCCTTCCCTCCTGCCTCTTCTCCAGCTCCACTGCTGTCTGTTCCAACAGAGCAGACACGGCATCCTGTGGAGACAAAGGCCCAAGGGTTCATCTGCATACTACTTGCAAGAATCACAGCTTAGAGTGTGAACTTCCCTGTGAACTGAGACTAACACTGAAGTCCAGAGTGGGTATGTGTCTTGCCCCAAGGTCACTTATAAACTGGAAATACAGCACTTAGTTCATCTAATTTGCAGTTCTCCTGAGAATAACTCCTGTATGCACAGACAGACTTTTGGAAGACAGTCAAGTTTAGGAGTTGAGTGAGGCAGAAATATAGGTCTCTCGCTGTAAAGAGATTATAGTGTAGTCAGGGAAACCATCACATGAACTGTCAATAATGTGATAATGTGAAACAATGTGATAAGGACTTTGCCAGAGGCTAAGCTTCGGATATTTAGGAACAACAGAGCAATGGCAGTGTCAGGTTGGAATTGCATTCAGGGAAGACTTCCTGGAGGAAGAACATCTATACCGAATGGTGTCTACAATGAGGAAGCCTGTGTGACTTGAAGAAATTAATCTGAGACTCAATTTCCTCTAGAGTAGTTTCTAATAACTACTACAAAAGGTTGCTATGAACATTGAGAATATATACATAAGATATATAAAGAAGAGTACCTAGCACATAATTAGCACTCAGTAAATGGCAGCTCATAGTAAAGCAAAAACTGACCTTGTAGCTTTCTGAGCACATGGCTAATTTGCAAACACCCTTTGTAGTGTGGGCCAGAGCTTGGAAAAATCCCTGAAATTTTCTTTTAGGGAACAGGGGACTAACACCAATTGGAGGCCTGGTATACGTCAGGCACTGGACAGACAACTTATGTGTAACATCTTATATAATCTCTACAACTATTCTGAGAGGTAGAGATTATGATAATTCCCTTGAGAAATGGAACAAGGAAACTAATTGTGCCTAAGGTTGGTGTCACTTACCCAAGGACATGCTCCAGAAAGTAAAGGATGTTTTCAAGATATTTGCCAGCTCATGGACTCCTTTTTGGAGTGAGGAAGACCTAGCTTTGTTGTTTATTGATGTATGTCCTTAGGTAACCTTTCTGAGCCTTGGTAAGTGGCACATAATAAACAGGACAGTGCCTGACACAAAAGGAAATGCAGGAAATGATAAGGATTATGAAAAAGAAGGAAGAGGAGGAGGAGGGGAGGGGAGGTTGGGGGGAAATAGATTTGATCCTTCCCCTTATCCTTACCACCTGACCTAGCCCATCTTCTCCATTGAAATTCTGGGCAATGACTGTCCAAAGTAACCAAGTACTGACAGAAGGAAGACACACTACAGAGAATTATGAGCTAATTTGAATCCCAAACGCTTTCTCTTTGGGATTCCAAAAGGATCCTGTATGCTGTGACACTCTATGTCCAAGGGCAACTTCACTGCTTGGTTGAATCTTGGCTAGCAGATGTGAGCTTCCCAAGTACAGAAAACAATTTCAGGACATTAAAAAGAAATTGTTTTTAATGTTTATTTATTTTTGAAGGAGAGAGAGAGACAGAGCATGAGCAGGGGAGGGGCATAGAGGGAGGGAGACACAGAATCCAAAGTAGGCTCTAGGCTCTGAGCTGTCAGCACAGGGCCCAACGCGGGGCTCGAACCCCCAAACCACGAGATCATGACCTGAGCTGAAGTCAGACGCCCAACCGACTAAGCCACTCAGGTGCCCCCCAGGACATTTTAAAGTGTATTGCACTAAAATGAAACCAATACATATTTTTAAACCAAAAATAGGCAAATGTAAGATTTTTAAGAAATATACAATAATGAAACAGATACCATTTATCAAGGACTTACAGAGTGCTCTTCACATATACTTCTTCAAACCTTCCTAACCACCTTTTTAGATAAGGATTTGGCATGAAAAAAGAGGTTCAGAGCAGTGAAATGACTGATCTGTCACCCACCTAACATACCCCGGTCAGTGTTGTTTTCTGCTGTGTCTTACAGCAAGCCTCCACCATGGACCACTAGGCAGATAGCAGTATCTCAATAAAGGTTCATTTTCTACCTTCTACAGGTTTCTCCTTCCTTTTCTACTTCATTAAAAAAAATCATAAATTAAGGTTTTCATCAGGCAAGTTATACTATGGCAAGCAAAGTGCAGAAGGGGGAACACAGATGAGGAAGGGGAAGGTTGCAGATCGGGGGCTACCTGCCCGTTTGCAGAGGTCTCTCCTACCTCATCATCTTCTTCTCTGTTCCAATACCCTCTGTTGCTTCCCCCACCTCTGAGGCCCAGTCATCTCCAGTTCTGGGAGAGCTTTTCCTGTCATCCATCCAGATGCTGCACACCTAGGAGGGTGGTGCAAACCCGGGGCCCAACTCACCGTGCTTTCAGGACCTGGGGTGGGGACCTTGGCTCCCACTGGCTTGGGCTCCCTGCTCTGCTTCTTCAAGTATTTGTAGCTCAGGAGGTTGTACCAGCGAGTCGACCTCTCCCCAGACCGACAGACCTCAGCCAGGCTGATCTGGGCGCCTCCCTAGTTGAGGACAGGAAAAGGCATAAACCAGGGCTGACAAGGTATATTCTGACAAGGCTCCTGGGGAGAGTATGAGAAACATCCCCAGATGAGATAGCAGCTTCCGGGAGGAGGAAAGGGCTAGTTGTTAATTATTTCCAATAACTCATTTATTCACTAACTTACTCATTCATTGGTTTACTCATTCACCAAATCTTTACTAAGCACCTATCGTATGTTTTTTTTTTTTTTAATTATGACAAAACCCATAAAATTTACCATCTCCTGCCCCCAGCTTTACTGAGATGTAATTGACATGTAACACTGTACTAGTTTAAGATGTACAACATAAAGATTTGGATGGCGCCTGGCTGGTTCAGTTGGTAGAGCATGCGACTCTTGATCTGAGGGTCCTGAGTTCGAGGTTCACGTTGGGCATAGAGTTTACTTAAAAAAAAAAAAAAACAATTTGGTATGGTATTTATTATGAAATGATCACCACAGTAAGTTTACATCCACCACCTCATGGCTAGAAATTTTTTTTCTTATAATGAGACCTTTAAGATCTCCTCTCCTAACAACTTCCAAATATGCAATACAGTGTTGTTTATGTACCACAGTCCCCACGGACTACAGTGCATGGTTAGACCTTATTTACCTTATGACTGGAAGTTTGTACCTTTTGACCCTTCACCCATTTCCCCTACCCCCCACCTCTGACAGCGATCAATCTGTTTTTCGTTACTATGAGTTTGGTTTTATAGATTTCACATGCAAGTGAGATCATACAAGTATTTGTATTTCTCTTTCTGGGTTATTTCACTTCATATAACGTTCTCAAGGTCCATCCATGTTGTCACATAAAATTTGCCATCTTAATTAAAGTGTATATAGTTCAGTAGTGTTAAATACAGTTACGTTGTTATGAAACAGATATCCAGTACTTTTTTCATCTTGGAAATCTGAAACTCTACACCCATTAAGTAACTTCCCTCTCCCCTTCCCCTGGTCCCTGGCAACCACCATTCTACTTTCTGTTTCTCGTGAATTTGATGACCCTAGGTCCCTCCTATAAGTGGAATCACACAACATTTGTCTTTTTGTGACTGGCTTATGTGATTTAACACAGTGTTCTCAAAGTTCATTCATGTTGTAGCATGGGACGGGATTTCTTTCCTTTTTAAGGCTGAATAATATTCCATTATATCAAGAGACCACATTTTTAAATCCATTTATCCACTGATACACTTTTAGGTTGCTTCTGTCTCATGGCTATTGTGAAGAATGTTGCTATCACTGGGTGTAACCTTGGATATATACCCAGTTGTGAGATTGCTAGATCGTATGGTAATTCTATTTTTAATTTTTTGAGAAACCCCCACCCTCGTTTCCATAGCAGCTCTGCATAATGTTTTACCACCAACAGTGCACAAGGGGTTTCTTTATTCCACACCCTTGCAAACATTTGCTATTTCTTGTCTCTTTGATAACAGCCTTTCTAAGAAGGGTGAGGTGCTATCTCACTGTGACTCTGATTTGCATTTCCCTGATGATTAGTGATGGTGAGCATCTTTTTCTGTACCTGTTGGCCTTCTGTATGTCTTCTTTAGAAAAATGTTTATTAAAAGCCTCTGCACATTTTTATATTGGATTTTTTGCTTTTTTGCTATGGAGTTGTATGAGTTCTTTATACATTTTGGGTATTAACCCCTTATCAGATACATGATTTGCAAATATTTCCTCCTATTCAGCAGGTTGCCTTTCCATTTTGTTGATGATTTCCTTTGCTGTACAGATTTTTAATTTGATGTAGTCCCATCTGTTTATTTTTGCTTTTGTTGCCTGTGCTTTTGGAGTCAGATCCAAAAATTATCACCAAGACCAATGTCAAGGAAGAAGATTTTGAACAACTCAAAGGGCCAGCAACAGGGGACTGGAAGAATAAACTATAACATATCTACACAATGGGATATTATATAGACATGTATAAAAAATGAGAAAGATCTCTAGGTGCTGATGTGGGCAGACTTCCAGGCTGTATTGTTAAGGGAAAAAATAGAATAGTGCAGAAGAGAATATGCAGTATGCTACTTTTTGTATAAGAAATGGAAAGAGGGATAAGAATATATATATTCTCTCTCTCCATACATATATACATACATATATGTATACATACACATATGTATATATATGTATATATACACATATGTGTATATATGTATATATATGTATATATATACACATATGTATATATATGTACATATATATATGTATACATATATATATACATATATATATTTCTCTTTCTGGCTTATGTATATATACATACTATATTGCACCATATTTGAAGTGCAAAGGGTAGTGAACATTATCACATGTACATATGTGCAACAAGAAATAATGGGAAGATAAAGACAACACTAATCAAAGTGGGTAGCTATACAGGGTAGGTGGGATTGGGTGCAAGGGGCAGGGAAGCAAGATTGCTTTTGAGTAAACCTTTCTATACAGTTTTTCTTTGAATGGTGTAAATGGATGCCTTAAGATGAAAACAACTTCCACAAAATTAATCTCACTGAATATAACCTCCCAGAGAGGGGATTTATTTCCAGTGACTTGACTTTTTACCATACATCCTTAGTGGAAAAAATGACCAAATACTTTTAATCATTCTTCACAGGTCTTACTATTGTTTCAACATGTCCTCTTTGGAAGAGCCCTGACCAGGTTTGGGGTTAGCAAATTCACTGTCCTGAAACACAAGAGTGGCTGTGCCAGCGGGTGGTAGAAATACCACAAGCTGGTTTGTGAAGTGGGCCAGTAGCTGAGTGGAGGCTTGGGTGGTACCTGGGATGGGGAGGGGGCTCCCCAATCTACCTGGGATCCTTTCTACCAGTTTTTCCTTCTATTAGGATGCACCAGGGCATGGCATGGACTGTGCAAACTCATTGTGTGTCTAAAGGTTAATTTGTAGAACAGTGGTGAGCAAGTGGAGAAAACAAGGTAAATGACTCCTACCTGCAGGACTAGAGTCTGTTCAGGAATTAAATACCTGTGCATTTTAGTCACCTGTAATAAATTTAAATATACACAAATATGTGTATATTACTCATTTACTCACTTAATAAATATCCTCTGAGCACTTTGCAGACTCTGGAGCCATAGAAACATGTAAGACAGGATGTTGCCCCCAAAGGGGTCACACTTTCTTGTGAAGACAGACAAATGTGTCAGATATTACAGTTCAGAACATGCCAGGCCATGTTTGAGGGGCAAGGGGGAAAGAATATAATGACAGCTTTGAGGTGTAACACTGCCATAAGATTATTATTAATTCCAACAAGATATACTGTCTATTTTGGGCTGGCTCATAGGTATAAATGTGGTCTACTTTGGTAAATGATGCCCTGTGAGGGCATTTATTTATTTATTCACTACACACAGGTAGCTAAGTAGCCTTTATGTGCCAGACACTGTTTTGAAGGCTGGGGATACAGTAGGATTTAAGGCAGATAAGAATCTCTGTCCTCATGAGCTTACATTCCAGTCTGGGGGAATCAGATAAACAAATCTGTAAGTAAAGTCAGTGTACTATTTCATGCATTACTAAGAAAGAAACATAGTTGTCAATTACACTCTGACCTGTCATCTAGTATAAACTGCATCTTGATTCTAGAGATCTGATAAAATGTGAAAATCATGTATACCCTAAAATCTGTAATACTGATAAATGTTAGGTGGGGAAACGTGCTGCAGAGAAAAATAACACGGGGGCGGGGGACAAGAGTGGAGGGGGAATGTAATTTTTAAATAGGATGGAAGAAAGACCTCCCTGAGAAGGTGACATCTGGGTCAAGCCCACAATGAGGCAGGAGAGTGAGCCCTGCCCATCAGTATCTGGGAGAAGAGAATTCTGGTCAGAGGGGCCAGCAAGTGCAAAGGCCTGGGGCAAGGAGCATGCTGGTATATTCAAGGGGAACAGGGAGGCTGGAGGAAGAGTCTGGGGATAAAATCTGAGAGATAACAAGAGACAGATTCCCGAGGGCCTTGGAGGGCAGGCAAGGGGCCCAGGAGTTGACTCCAGATGGACATAGAAGCGAATGTAAAGTTTTAGGTAGAGGAGTGGTAAGCACTGATTTGCAATTTAATAGGATCACTCTGGTGACTGTGTTGAGAGGAGATGAAGGGAGGCAAGGACAGACCAAGGAGACCCAGGAGAGACTGCTGCGCAATCCAGGTGACAGACAGCAGTGGGACAGGAGCAGCGCTAAGTGGCCAGGGTCTGGGGATCTTCTGAAGAGGGACCTGCCAGGAATTCCTGAAGGATTAGATGTGGAGCGGAGAGGAAGAGACAGGTCAAGGATGAGCCTGTGGTCTCTGGCCTGGGCAGTGGAAGAACAGAGTTGCTTTTAGCTGAGACAGTAAAAACACAGGAAGACAGATCAGGAGTGTACTTATGGACAAGTTCATCTGAGATGCCTCCTGGACAAGCAAGAGAAGATGTGGAACAGACAGCAGAGGTGTTATGCAGCTGCGAGTGGGGAGGCCCAGGCTGGAGCCATACATCTGACATGGTGTTTGAAGCGGGAGAATGAGATGAAATTACCAAGGCAGTGAATGCAAACAAACAGAAAAGGGGAGAGGGGCGAGTCCTGAGCCCTGACACACAGCAGTTGGGGAAATGAGAAGAATCAGCCAAGGAGACAGAGATGCCAGTGATGAGGGAAGAACACTGAGAGTGAGGTGCTGGGGAAGCCAAGTCAGGGCAAAGGAGGCCGAGGAGAACTCTGGGAGCAACTGAACCAAACACAGTCGACAGGCCAAGGAGGGTGAGGATGGAGAAGTGGCCACTGGGGTTAGCAACGAGGAGGCCACGGATGACCTCGGGGAGCACATTTCTAGCAGAATGATGACGGCGAAATCCCACGTGAACTGGGTTACAGAGAGAACAATTCACCTTTTGCTATAAAGGGAAGAAACAAAGTAGTAGCTGGAGGGAGAAATGGGTAAAATCTTTCTTTTTGTTTTTTTTTTTTGTTTGTTTGTTTTTTTGTTTCTTAAGAGAATTAATAGCCTGTTGGTGTACTGATAGGCCAGGCCCAGCAGAGGAGTGAAGACTGAAGAAAGAGCCAGAAAATAACAGGTAGTGAGAAGTCGCCTCACATGGCAGTGGGGGGGGGGCCGACCTCAGAGCCAGGAGAAATGGCAAGACCCCAAGAACCGTGGGGAGCAAGGCCCTCAGCAGGGGGAGTATGAGGGTGGGAGAAGAGGCCAGAAGTCTGAGGACAGGGGAGAGGGTAAGAATTCGCCCCTGGGAAGGGGAAGGCAGTACCAGTGCTGAGTAGCATTAGGGCTCATGTGAGGTTTGTGACCACAATTTTAACAAGAGACCATACGGCATGGCTGTGTTTTAGTGCATGGGCGGAGAGTTCACTTTGACCGGGCTGGGTTTTCCCAGGTGGGGATGGCAAGGTGAAAAAAGCCTCTTTGTTGTAATGGTTAACTATGGAATAGGAGGGGTGCCTGCGAAGTGGGCTTTCTTTTTTTTTTTTTTTTTAAATTTTTTTTTCAACGTTTATTTATTTTTGGGACAGAGAGAGACAGAGCATGAACGGGGGAGGGGCAGAGAGAGAGGGAGACACAGAATCGGAAACAGGCTCCAGGCTCCGAGCCATCAGCCCAGAGCCTGACGCGGGGCTCGAACTCCCGGACCGCGAGATCGTGACCTGGCTGAAGTCGGACGCTTAACCGACTGCACCACCCAGGCGCCCCGCGAAGTGGGCTTTCTTAACAGAACCTTCTCTGAGTGGCACTGAGCTTAGCAGCTAGGGAGTGGACAACAGGGTACAGCTGGAAAGCCTGTGACCCCGATTATGCCATGCTAAAGCATTCAGTAGAACAGTTGCCGGAGATAGTGGGCAAGGCAGGCCACGTGTTCATCCAAACCCATAATCCAGGTCTGTGGACAGGGGGGACGTGGTAACCACCTGAGAGGCGGGACAGTATGAAGGCTATGTGTAAAGAAGCTGCAACCAGGAAGCGGACTTCTCCACTTACTCGATGGATGACCTGGGCAGGTTACTTAGCCCTTTTGCGTCTTGATCCTTCATCTGTCAAGTGGAGGCAATCCTAACGCTTCTTCCTCAGGCCGCTGTGAGGGTTAAGGGAGACACTGCATGCAGATTTCTTAGCCCAGTACTACACAAAGACGCTGCTCAGGATGGGTACCACTGTGGCAGCCTGGCTCATTAAGCAGCTCAAAGCAGACCAGGGATTCCCCAAACCCAGCAGTGTAGGGAGACCGCGTGGGAGCACACGGCCTTTCTAGTGTCTCACTTCCTCGCTTACTCCTCTAGCCACCAAAACACGGCAGCCTGACACTCTATATCCCCACAGGATACGGGAAAGTAGATTTCCCATTGGCCACAGACAGAGACAAGCCACAGTGGGATGAGCGCTTTGGCTGCTGCCATGGCAACCAGCAATGGCCACACTTCAATTAGGAAGGAGGAATAAAAGACATCCAATTAGAAGAAGAAAATAGGATTGAGTCTCTTCTCATTGAGGAATTCCCAGGGCTGAGGAAATGTTTCACAGAAGAGCCTGGGATTGGAAAAGCTTTCTGCTCTGGTGCGCAATATCTACCATGCTCACCAGTCTTCAGTCACTGTCCTACCTGTGGGTTCCAGGGAGCAACATGCTGGTACAAACACCAAGGGGCTGATGTGGGTGGGCTGCAGAAGGCAAGCTGCCTAGCTTCTAACTGCTCATGGCTCTTCTTGATTGTGTGACCTTGGGAAGGTTCTTTTACCTCTCTCTGCCTCAGTTTCCTCACTGATATAACAGTACTTGTTTTGTAAGATTTTAGTGAGGGTCAGATAGAGAAACTACACATTAGGGGCTTAGCTCAATGCCCACCACATAAACTGCATTCAATCTATGGATGCTATTGCATTACTGTCAGTAGTAACATCAACAACATAAATGGCAATGATGCTGTTTTGTACCCCAGCTGAGGAGAGCAGGGGACTGATAGTCAGTGAGCATCTAGCATGTGCAGACACACTGTTGTTTTACATCCTTGCTATGGGGACCAGCGGCAATCAGCAGTACTTGGGAGCTTATCAGAAATGCGGAATCTCTTGGTGCCTGCCCCCACTACTGCCCCAGACTTGCTGAATCAGAATCTGAATTTTAACCAGAGCCTCCAGGTAACTTGTGTGCATGTTCAAATTCCAGAAACACAGCTTTAATCCTCGTTTAATCCTCAGAGAACCATCTGTGAGGTGGGCAGTGTTAGCTGGATTTTACAGATAAGGAAACTGAGACTGAGAATTAAAGAGTCATAGGCAACGCAGCCTCGGGCACAAGGGATGAAGCCCTGCAGTTCCATGGTTGACAAAGGGGCTTCCCGCCTCCTCGCCCCCTGCTCTCAATGAGTGTGCCAATGCTGTTCACCTGTGCAACAGTCCCTGCCTGGAACCCAAGACAAGCTTCACACTACAGCCTGTGTTTTCTCCAAGCCTTCTCCCTGAAATACAAGGTGGGCCAATCTCCAGAAGGACAGAAGGCTGGACAGACAGTCAGACAGAGAGACAGGCACAGCCCTCACCAGGCACTCCTCCAGATGGCTTCTGTCGGTGGTACAGACATCAACTCTTAAGGTCTTCTGGTGAAGGGCTGGATAGGACATGGACACCCAGAACATTTCATTGAACACGAGAGTGTCTGAGGCATCCAGGGGCCGGGTCCGGAACAGGCAGGTGGTGCTTTCAGAGCAGGGAAGGATAGCTACACGAATGTTCCTAGAGAGAGACAGAGGAGAGCCTGAGTCAGCCTGGGTCTGGGATAATGTGTTGGGCTAAACTGTTGCCGCAAATCCCTAAGACAATAACAGTGGAGGAGTTTGTAATTTCTCAAGCGGTTATGCAGATATTTGTAAGGGAAGCAGAGAGGGTCCCAAGGATAACAATTGCTCTTCCTTCTCCCAAATCTCCAATCCTTAGAACCTCAAAGAGTATGGAACCTGAGGTCAACAGTGTGCAAACTTCTGTGCACAGAAGGATCAGCAAGATTGTTAACACTCAGGAATCCTTATACAGCTGCTGGTAGGAAGGCAAAATGCTACCGCCCCTGCAGAGGGGAATGTGACAACCCTAACACAATTCCAGATGCACTGGCCTTGTGACCCCATTCACCTTGCTTCTAGACACTCTTCCACAAATACCACTGTACAAGTACCAATGAGATATGGAGAAGGTTACTTGTTCTGGCACTGTTTGTAAGAGCAAATGACTAAAGGCAACCCTAGTGTCTAATCTTCTTTATTCTGTTTGTCCTGCTTTCCTTCTGTCTTTCCCTTTCCCACATGTCACAGACTCAGATGCTGGCTGGGTACAGACCTCAGAAATATAAGCTCCCGCTGCTGCCCCAATGCCTATCATCTAAAGGAGAAACCTGCAGGCAGGTGAATGCAATGAAACATAAACCCGGTCTGCCAAGGCAAGAGCCAACAGGCAAATAGCACAGGTGTTTGCTGTATAATCAACTGTAAGGTAATACCCATCACACCCTTCCAATAGAAGCACAGTGACAGGCGCAGGCTCTTGAGAATTTCAGGCCTCTTTCTGTGTGCAGTATTTGAGCTTAGAGCAGATAATAGGGGCCATGACCCTCTTCTTCGTGAGGCTTCAAGTTCAAAGGGCAAGGATTTGCTCACCACCCCGCTCTTAGTGCTGGCACATGGTAGGTGCTCACAATGTGCTTGCGAAGGAACTGAAGCTGCCTACAGTGCTTCTTGTTCCAGTCAGTGAGTTTGCCATCACGCCTGTATCCACATCCACATTCACAATACTGACACTGTGCATCACGGTCACACAGATGAAATATGCACGGGGCCCGATGGTGCAGCGGGCAAGGGCAGGAGACTGCCCCCGGGGATGGCCGCAGAGGTTGAGAGGCTCATACAAACCCTGTCAGCCACATACTCACACTTTCTGGTCTTGTTGCAGCAACAGAGCAGAAAGGTTACTGAGCTGGATGATTAATATTGCAAATTGCTTATTCTTCTCATCGTACCTGAAATGGAGAGGGACATATGGAGCACGTATGAGTAACACATTTCTCTCTCTCTTAATCATCACAGACGTGGCTGCTGGCTGCTTGGGGGACTGTGGGGAACTTGAGAGCACAGGCCCAGTGCTTTGGGCCATGTAGGGATGCAGGTTCAGACCTGCCGGTCTGAATTTTTATTTTTATTTTTTTTTTAAATGAAGTGTCAGCTTAGATTTCCGTTTACTTTTTTTTTTTTACATTTATTTATTTTGAGAGAGACAGAGTGTGAGCGGGGAAGGGCCAGAGAGAGAGGGAGAATCCCCAGCAGGCTCCCCGCGGTCAATGCGCAGAGCCCAACGCGGGGCTTCAACCCCATGAAACCGTGCCGTCATGACCCAAGCCCAAATCGAGAGTGGGATGCTCAACCGACTGAGCCACCCAGCTGCCCCTATCAGTCTGAATGTTTAAGGAGAAGCCAGAAGATTGTGCTGTGTGAAATCTCTTGATACTTGAATATTGGCAATTTCTACCAAAAATAATATTGTGGCCATCCTGCATCAAGGGAAAACACAGGAACAACAATCTGGGCTGCAGCCCCCAATGGCTGAAACTTCAATGGGACAGTAAGCCAAAAAACCACAACAACAATGGCCCCAAAAAACAAGGCACAGGAGGTCTTGGTCATGGTCTTGCTCTGCCACTGGCCAGCTCAGTGAGTTGGGGCAAGTAACAAGGTCTTCAAAGCCTCATTCTTCTCTTTGGTAAAATGTGGAGGTGAGAGGGAGGGAAAGGATTGGCCCTCTTTAGTTAGGAGGCCACAAGTGTCGGCAGGTCCTGCTGGTTCTGCCTTTCTCCCCTAGGCAGCCATGAAGGTCAAAACTGAGAAGATGCTGCTGACCACCCATGTGCTCCTGCCCTCCCAGTCACTTACTTCAGGGCAATCTGAACCCGGGTTGCACCCACTGCTTCGGATTCGTCACTGTCAAAAGCGGCAGCTTCTGAAGCACCCGGTCTGAGAGGCAATACAGGGAAGAAGGAGGGTCAGGCTTCCCTGCAGTCACCTGGGGCCAAAGTCATCTTCCAGAAACAGGGTTCCCTCTGGGAGGGCACAGTGGGGTCCTCAAGGAGGAAAGTCTGGGTCAGCTCAGACTCCCTGCAGATTCCGCCTTCCCACGACTGCTCGGGATTCCTGTCTTGAAGGGGCTGCACTTCCTCCAGCATGAACTCCCCCAGCCATATGCTCCTTAATGGCAATCGTGGAACTGGCACTCCCGCAAATGTGAAGTGCTCCCAGCCCCAGGAGGAGCAGCACTGTCTGCATCTTCAGCCTATACCACACAGGGCTGAGTCACCTGGCCATGCCCTTCTGTGGGTTCCTCCCACATACCTGAGGGGGCCCAGGCTCTGCATACTCAGACTTCCCAGAGACAGTCAAGACTCAGGGACCCACCTCTGCACAGAAGCCTCATACACACCACTGTCCCCGGCCACGGATTCATCTGACACAGCAGCTGACACACAGGCCACTTTCAGGCTGCACCCCTGGGCTGTATTCACAGCTGGAGAAAGGAAGGATGGCAAGACAGGATTCAGAAACCAGGACACTGTCTTTGCAACACACACTTATGATCTACCCTCTGCCCCAAGAGAGTCCTGCCAAATACCACCAATGAACTCGACAGCAAAGTCCTGCCTTCCTTTGGGGTGAAGGAAGGGGTAGCGGATGATTCTGTGTTTAGCATCCCAGACTTGGAAGCCAAACTGCATGGGTTCAAATCTCAGCTCCACTACTTACTGCTCCATGACACTGGGACGTGGATTTCTCCTCTCAAACCCTTGGATTCCTTATCTGTAAAATGGGAATAACAACACTTACCTGGTAGGGCTGCTGGGGGGACTCAAAGAGACATTATAGGGAAGTCCTCAGTACAGAGACTGGTGCAGGAAAACGCTGTAAAATTCAGCACCACTATCCTTATTGCAACGGTCATTCCCAGCACTATGGTGATGACTTCTAGATCAATCCCTACACACCTGGGGCGGGGCGGGGCAAAGTAACAACTGCTGGACCCTTGGGAGGGGCAAGTGGAAGAAAAGGGAAGATTTCAGCACGAGCTATCCTGCTCTGCCTGTCCCATTCCACTCCTAACTCAGCTCTCCAGCTCCCTCCCCTTGATGGAGGGCCTCAAAGGTCTCTGACCCAGGGCTCAGACCAGGCACTTGGCTCATGCTGCACATTCCTTCCTTCTTCAAGTCACAAGCGCTGGAGGCGTGGCAGGCCAGGCTCAGAGCTACCAGCACGGATAGGAAGGCTCCTGAGCTCCATGCAGTGGGGGGGCAAGACCAGATTCAGGCCCTTCGACCTCACAGCTGGCACTTCTGACTCCCTGCTGTGTGCCAGGCCCTGGGGCAGCCTGGAGAAGAGGCTGGGGATGGGCCAGACTGGGGAAAGGGATGGTGACATTGAGCCTGGGAGAAGCAAAGTGGCCATCTGGGTGCAGCTCTCCCAACCCGTGTTCCATGCCTGCTGTGGCCAGCGGAGACCTCCCGCCTTCAGACCCATGCATCTCCACCCTTCACTAAACCACTTAAGAAGATTAATTTGTCTGCTGACTGAACAGCGGCACTAATCACATAACCTGCTTAGTGTCGAGCTCAGCCTGGCTTCGCTCACTGCAGGGACGGCTTTTGGAGATGGCATGAAGGGAATGCCATCCTGAGACATGTGTGGTCCTTGGCCCACAAGCACTGAGGACACTCTGGGGGAGAGAAGGAGGGTCACTCCCAGCACCTTGCTGGGTCCCTGACTTGGCTTATTGCCAGCCTTTGACAGAATGTCAAGAGCTCTTCTGGAGCCTCATTACAGGTTCCACCTGCACTCGCTCCTCTCCAGGGGACAATTTTCTGAAGTTTGCCACCTGCTGTAGTAGGAAGCTGTTTTTATTTTTGTTTGAGAGCACTCAGCAAGACTCCCTTCCTGACGAGGGAGCCCCAGGGATCTCTCGGCACCTCTTCTAAGGAAATGGCTGGCAATCACCCAGCAGACCCTTTAATTAACCAGGAAATCTCGTCTCCCCCCCTCCCCCCACCCCCCGCCCTTGCTCCCACCAGCCCTTGCACACGAAGAGATAATTCTGGGCATAGCGGCAGCCCTCCTGCCCATTTCTGGAGCCTTATGGCTGAGATGGGTCTAGCTTCTTCCAGCTGGCATCACAAGCAGCCAGGAGCAGGAGCCCTGTGCGCACGAAGCCAGCACATGTCTTAGTGTGGGCTCTGGGCAGGTGGTCCTGACCGTATCTTGTATACCTATACTCAATAAGTCATGGCCAGGAAAGCCTGGGAGCCCCAGGGCACCCTGCTCACAGTTCTGACCTTCACATCAGATGGGTGTGGTGGGGCCAGTGAGCACCAGAAGTGTCCCAGGAATAAACACACAGGGCTGCCTCACATCCTGAGAGGAGTGTGACAATAAAGAGGTTGGGTTCTGGGGTCAGGAAAACCCAGATTCCAATCCCTTCTTTCCCACTTGCTGGCTGGGGGACCTATAGCAAGTGATATCACCTCTCTAAACCTCTGTCTCCTCATCTGTGAAATGGGCATAACAGAAGTAACCTATTTCACTGTATAAACCACACAGCCCGTCACACAACATACCCCAATAAAATGTAACTATTATAATATATGCTGGCTGCTAAAGAATTTTTCTCCTAATAAATCATAACTGTCACCATCATCATCTTCTGTTTTAGAGATTCCTACCTGAATCTCAATCTATACCAAAATATTCTTTCTGACCCCATGCAGAGTGGGAGCCAGATCCTGTCATTCCCTGGCTTCAAATGGTCATATGGGTCCTTGCTGCTATTAGGATAAAATCCAAACTCCTTACCATGGCCCACCAGGCCTTAAATGACTGGGCCCTTCCTGATTCTCTGGTTTGCTGGTGACCTCTAACCTGTGGCCTCAGAGATTTTGCTCTTACTTTTCCCAAAGCTGGCTCCTTCTCACCGTTTAAATGCTCACCCAAATGTCGTCTTCCTTCACAACCCAGTCTGAACTGGCAGCTCCACCCCGACCTGAGAGGCCCCATCACATCTCATTTTGTTTTCCTCCTAGGGCCTTTACTGGTCTGGTTGTATAGTTAATGTCTGTGCCTTCAATGGCATGTAAGCTTCTTGGGGACAGGGACCTGGAGCTTGCCAGTCTTCCATACTGTGTCCTTGTGAGTCACCCTGTGCCTGGCACATGGCCCATATGCTGACTGAATAAATGAAGGAATCCATGTACAGACATTAGCACAAGATCTGGCATTTAGTTTTAACAGATACTTAATATCAATTGAATGAATGGATCCATCATGGAAAAACTCTTAGCCCAGGACCTGGAACGTAGTGAGTACGTAAAAATAATGTCTCCTGAATGAATAAACGGACTGATATACACATAAAGCCTGGGCAGATAGAAAGCAGTCGGTAAATGGCCCTAATTATCACTGGGGTCTGCACTCAGGCCTGAGTGCAGTTCCTACCCTGCCCGCCCCCCCGCCCCCCAAATGGTTCCCCTCTGTACCTTGGCCCAACTGTTTGCCTTCCATTCCTGGTTCCTCCGGCCGGTACCTCTCCCGGGTGCCACTGCCAAGGCTCAGTTCACAAAGAGTGGCACTCAGCTCCGGGTCGTCAAACTCCAGGGGGCTCAGGAAGGTATCTCCAGCCAGCAGGGGGTCAGCAATGAGAGGGGAGCAGGGCGGGGACGGAGAGGAGAGTGAGGAGCGGGGGGACAGGGAGGTCATGGACTTCGGGGTGCCAGACAGGGAGCGCAGGGCCTGCAGGCGGCTGCCCCCCTCCGCCTTCTGGGTCTTGGCCACCTCGTCCTCATGGATAGTGGTGATGCAGCCTGAGGGCCGGAAGCCCGTGGCCCCCTCCAGGAGCAGAAACTCCACCTTGCTCTGCAGCTCCGAGTCCAGCTGCTCGAAGGGGTCGTAGTAGAGATCAGTGAAGCTGGCTGAGGTGGAGGAGTCCAGGCTAGAGGCGGCTAGGGAGCCCCGGCTGGATGCGAGGGATCCAGGACTGCTGCCTGAGGAGAGGGACTGCATGCTGCTTGAGAGGCTGGGGGCACGAAGACAACAGAGGGTGAGGACACACAGAAGGAAATGGGCCACCCTGAACCTCCTTCTTGGCTCTGAGAAGCACTACGGCTGCTCAGAACACTTAATTTTGTTGGACCCTCTTGACAGTCTCCAGGGGAGACCATGCACCCCCATTTCACTAAAAAGGCATCCTGAGAAGGCCACATAATCAGAAAGTGGCAGAAGGGGGATTCCAATCCAAGTCAGCGGCCTTAAAAGTCCACTTTTTCCCGTTTGCCAAACCTCCACTGGCCGTAGTCCATTTTTACGCTATGTTTCCTTGTATGAATCCAGCCCTATTTCTTGATATTTTTCTTCAAATAAACTCACTCTTTACTCTTCAACACATTTATTTTAAAAGGAAACTTTACACCCTAAGTGGGATTGGAAAAGCAGCATCATTTATGACAAATAGAAGGCAAGGATTAAAAATATCTGATGGAGGGGCGCCTGGGTGGCGCAGTCGGTTAAGCGTCCGACTTCAGCCAGGTCACGATCTCGCGGTCCGTGAGTTCGAGCCCCGCATCAGGCTCTGGGCTGATGGCTCAGAGCCTGGAGCCTGTTTCCAATTCTGTGTCTCCCTCTCTCTCTGCTCCTCCCCCGTTCATGCTCTGTCTCTCTCTGTCCCAAAAATAAATAAACGTTGATAAAAATCTTAAAAAAAAAAAAAAATATCTGATGGAACAAAATATATTAAATTCCAGGGATACGCTGTTGCCCACTGAGGCCCAGGCCTGAGGCCTGCTCTCTCTACGTTGGCAAAGCAGGTGGGCAGATATTAGAGATGTGAATGGCACCTGACAGGGGGGTCTTCTCCTCGGTGCTGTCAGGAGGGCTGAGGGCACCATAGTGCAGACAGGTGAGGGACCCTGCCCTGGCCATGCCACACCAGCCTCGAGTCCACCAGCCTAACCAGCTGCCCACTGTGCTTCCAAATGTCCACACTCAAGCCATGGAGGACCCAGGAAGGGCAGACCTGGGCGACCTCAGGATGCTGGTGTCTGGCTGTCCCCAAGGCCACACTCGTGGCCCACCGCTCACCTTTTCAGCTGGGTATGCAGAGCTGCTACCTGCCGGGTGGCTTCCTCCAGTTCTCTCACCAGCTGGTTCCTCTTACTGTTTAACTTTAACCTGAAGGAAGAGAAGGCATGAGTGGGGAGCACGGGGTGGCGGGGGGGAATCCAGCCTCCATCTTCCTAGACGAAGAATCACAGGCATATACGTGTGAAGATGTACATGCAGATCCACAGACACACAAGAATTTTCTGGGAGTGTTTTACTATGATCTTTGGGGGAGATATGGCCCCCACATATGATCCTATAGGAACTGCTATATTCGTCACCTACTATATACCAGGCACTGTGCTAGGAAATGGGTAACACTGCCTTCATTCATTTGTACAAGAACCCTGCACAGCAAAATGGTTTTTACCACTTTACATATGAGGAAATTGAGGCGCTTAAGAGTTAAATAATTTAACGCTGGAGGATTAGTGGTAGAATTAGAATTCCACCCAAGCAGCCCTCCCTTCTCCTCCTTCCTTCCCATCCATTGGCCCCTACTCACCCACCAATATTTGCTTAGTGCCTACCTCATATGAGAACCTGGTGGCACTTGGCACTAGGGATAAAGATATAAGCAAAACAGAACTTGTTTCTGCACTTATGGAGCTCACATTCTGCTGTGGAGGGTGGGGGAGGACACACATTAAAAAATTACCCAAATATCAAATATCTAATGAACATACTGTGTGTCAAGGTTTAGGAATAAAAAGTACGGAATAGTGGAAAAGAACACAGGAGAGACCCAATTTAGACTAGCAGGTGGGATTCTTGGAGCAAGTGACTTTGTGGCTTAGCCTGTGCTGTCCTGAGCTCCCTGGGCTCACAGTTGGACCTTTCATAGCTTCCCTGGCAGCTGGGTAGGTGGGGCATGGGGCCAGGTTCTGGCCAATAGGAGGTGAGCAAAGGATGCGCATCAGGCTGAGGTGGTTAAGAGATGTTGGTGGATCTTCCCCACTGCTCCCTGAGGGCTCTAAAGGAGCTCGTGCCACAGACGGAAGAGCCTGGGTCCCTGAATGACCAAACACACATAAGGCTGCCTGTCAGCCAGGAAAACTTCTACTGTATTTAGCCATAGAAATTTAGGGGGTTGTTTCCTGCAGCAGGTGGCCTCTCCTGACTAGTAGAGAAATTTAAGCTAATATGAAGGATGGGCAGGAGTTGGCCAGGAAAAGCGCAGGGGAAAGAACATTCCAAGAGGGGAATCACAGCAGGGACCTCTTTCATTTTAAAGACATCATGGCTGCTGTGAGGAAAATGAGCAGGAGGCTGTGGATGGGAGACAGGGACAAGAGTTGGGGTGGCTATGATGGTGTGCTTCAGATGGAGCAGACAGAGAAAGGTCATGGGCTGGATGAGGGGCAAGGCCGAGGGAGTTAAGAGGAAGACTGTGAGGTCCCTGCCACTAGCAACTGAATGGATCTGAGATGGCTTCTGTCGGGATGGGAGAGTGATGGGCAGAGCAGCCCAGGGGAAGGGAAGAGTTCCCTTATGGATGTGTGGGTATGAACACTGAACAGGTGAGCTGTTGTAAATGTGGGGGACTCCCATCACATGATGACCACATGAAAAAGATGACCATCTTCCATGGACCAGATTGTGTCCCCTTACCCCCAAAGTCATATACTGAAGTCTTAATAACCTAGTACCTCAAAATGTGACTGTACTTGGAGATAAGGCCTTTAAAGAATTAAGGTAAAATGAGGTCATATGGATGAGTCTTAATCCAACATGACTGGTGTTCTTATAGGAGGAGATTAGGACACAGACATGCATGCAGAGCGGACCATGTGAAGTCATGGTAGACGTTCATGTATGGATGGCCACCTTCAAGCTAAGGAGAGAAACTTCCAAAGAAACAATCCTGGCAGCACTCTGGTCTTGGACTTCAGGTTCCAGAACTGTGAGACAATACATTTCGCCTATTTTGTGGTACTTTGGTGTGGCAGACCTAACAAACGAATGTACTGCCTTAGGGTAAAATATAGTGGGGGGAAAAAAGGGAGGGCCCAGGACTAAGCTCTGAGTATAAACAGCACAACAAGGTTGAATGGACCAGCAACAGTTGGCAAAGGAATCTGAGAGAATGAGCCCAGAAGGCCCAGAGAAGATGCAGGGAGTATGGTGGAGTGTCCTGGAACTTGGGAGCAAAGATCTGCACCAAGGCAAGTCTCATATCTGATACTAAAGCCCAATTCAGTAACTATCTCCCTGGAGGCAAAATTCTTGCATTTAGAAGTAACCACTGGATATAGGCCCATCTCTCAGGTTCTCTCCTGAGATCCTGCATGGAGGGCAGCTTGGATGGGCTCTAAGCAGTGTGCTGGCTCCAGGAATGGCTCCCTCTAACCCCTGGAGTGAGCCCACTCTAAGGTTCCAGGATCTGACAGGGAAGGGGCTCCATCAAGCAAGGCTGTGCCCTAGCAAATGCAAGATGTGGGCTGCCCTCGTGTATCCGCTAGATTTATGGTTCTCAGTGTGTGGTCCACAGACCTCCTGTAGCAGAAAGGAAGGAGTGCTTATTAAATGCTCAATCTTGGGGCCTACTTTGATCAACTGACTCAGAAAGTGTGGGGCAGGGCTCAGGAATCTGCATCTCCATTAGGGCTCACAGGTGATTTTTAGGCACACTAAGGTTTATGAGCTGCTGCACTGGTTGGAGGCTGGACGTTGTATCTCCCACAGACAAATGTGTTCCACTGTCGGCCTCATATCCCCTTATGCCACCCTGCTAGAGAAGGAATGACTGACCCGTTTGCAGAGCACAGCCAATCTGGCCTATGGCCTGGGAAAAAGAGTTCATTCTCATGGGAAAACCTAATCATGCCATCCCTCCACCAACACAGGCTCTGCAATGAAGACCAGAGCTTGCTCTAGACAACTGAGCAAGGTGGTGAGGGACTCGACATGGTCCTTGGCCAGCTCAATCCCTGGCGCTATTCTTCCAGAGTCCTGCTTAGGGCTGGTGGGGCAGGCAGCAGACCGGCAGATGGAGCCCATAATGAATAAAATCCTCGACTCTCAGTGGAATGGACAAGACCGTGGGATCTCCTGACTCTCCGTAAGACCAAGCCAGGGCTCACCATTTCTACCTGCATTTTTCTGTTTTCTGGGAGAAAGATCATAGAGACGTGTTCTGGCAGTAAATGCAGGTCACACTGGAGCCCAGCTAGGATGCCAAGGGGACTGGGAATCGGGTGGCCTCAACTTCCTGTGCACAGGGGCGTAGCTGCCAGCAGCAACATGCAGGTGCCGAGACCTCCTAGCAGAGGCGTTGGGCTTAGCAGGACATATGGCATTTGTGTGTGATGCCTGGCACATGCTGGGAAGCCACGGACGCATCAGCGTGGAAGTAGGAAGAGGATCCAGAAGGTGGAGCTAGAATCCCCACGAGCTGTGGCTCAGTACCTGGGGTGCTGGTTAAAAATGCAAGAGCTTGGGCTACATCTCAGGCCTGGGGAATTAGTCCCTGGGGAGGAGTCCAGGGAGTCCACACTCTAACAAGCACCCTTTGTGACTGCACAGCAGCTCTCAGAAGTGGTGGTGAGGGCCCACGGAAAGGGAGGGGGGGCATGGGGTGCAGGGATGTCTGACTGTGACTGATCTGTGATTGAGGTTTGGCAGGTCTGTGGTTCCTTCCTGGGTATGTCTATTCCTGTCCATCTCAAAGGCCCCTTGAGTGGAGAGGCTGATGTGTGAGGGTGAGGAGCATCATACGCTCAGTTGGAGTCTGGGAGGAGACAACGAGAGAGAAGAGAAAGGAACATAAGAAACAAAAGACAGAAAGAGACCTAGACAGAGAACAGCAGAGTCCAGGGGATGAACACATAAAGAAAAACAAGGGACTAGAAGCAAAGAGCTGTAGACACAGACAAGAGATTGCTGGGTTGGTTTTCTCCTCTCTCCTCTGGAGGATGATCAGAGCCATCAGCACTGTCCTTACCCTTCCTGAGGCTCTCTCCTCTTCCTGCCCACATGCCCCCCCAGCTTCCCTCTGCACATATCTCTGGGACCTCTGGGCTGCCTGGCTCAGCCACTGCTGTGGGGTGGGGATTCTGGCTTCCCTGGACTGGCTGTGTAAACTTGCCATTCTCAGCGGCAATTGGACCTTTAAAAAAAACAGGGCTGAGACAATAATAAAAGCCCTTTTGACTGGGCAGTGGCTTCAGCAAGCACGGGCCCCAGAGCCAGCAAGCCTGGGTTCTAATCTCAGCTCTGCCATGTGGTGGTGTTGACCGAGCCTCGGTTTCCTCACCTATAAAATAGAGAATGGTCTCAGGGTTGCTGAGAGATTTAAATGAGATGATACAGGATACTGGGTCTAGCACATAGTGGCGGCTTTTGCCTGTAGCATAGGAGTCTCTAAGATAACCTCCAATCCTACTTTCAAGAAACCAAAATTATTATAGCAGGGAAGAGCCTCAAATCACAATCTGATCCAACTGCCTGCCTTCAGACTATATAGGAATTCAATACGTAGTTGTAGTTTTTTTCCCTATCAGGCAACTGAAGTCCATATTGGTCAATGACTTGCTCAGGGTCAGCAGTGGGATGGGTTTCTTTTTTGATCCAACAAGGAGTAAGGCTGCCATGAAATGTGTTCTCTTCAGCTGCTGGCAGTGAGCATCATCAACAGTGAAAGGTTCCCCATGGAAGCTGTAGAGTCTGGGAATAAGTGAGGGACCCAGGGGACTGTTAGAAGAGGCCAGAAGATACACGCAGAAGCCTGGCAAGGGTGTGCGTAGGCTGGCTAACCATTTATTCAACTAACACTGGAGGTACGAGGGTATATAGACACAAGCCTTCTGCCCAAAGTATGCAGCCCCAGGGAGAGCAGGACAGAGTCTTGCTGCTGACGATTTCTAGCAGGTGCTTCAAGGGCTGCAAAACACCAATTATGGAAGCCCTGTCCTACTCCTCCACTTGTCTGGTGGTGGGTCACCCCATCAGCCATCCCTTCCAGGGGAGGATAGAAACACTTCCCTGGTAGCCATTCTGAGAAAGGGCTTAAGGATAAATGGACTCTGCTGTGCTTACAAGAGGCCAGGCAGAGGCTGGTCAACGTGACCCTCGGGCACCCTACCATGTGCAAGGGGGGTTTATTCAGGTGCTGGAGTTGGATGTCAGCTGGGTGCTAGAGAGCTCAGAAGGCTCCCGAAGGGGAGATGCAGAGAGCGCACATCCAGGCCCCTAGGACTCCTGGCCCGCTTCCACTGGGCTGGAGGCAAGTTTACCTGCTTTATAAACTGGGCTTCTGCCTCTGATTTCACTGGAAAAGAGGAATTTCCTTGCTCATTCTTGCCCCCAAACACAAATGCACATGCACGCACACATACACAAACACACACACATATGTGAAAATCACTACCTTTGCTTCTAAGCTCCTTAAGGGTAGGTACCTTGCTCACTAAAGTCTGCTGCCTAAAAAAGTGAAAGTAACTAGAATAGATTTTAAAGGCACAGGGGCAGGGATTGTGACTTATTAATTTCTGAATCCTCCAAACTGCCTTGCACGGAAAATATGTACCAAAAAAGCCCATTTCTCAAATAAATGAATAAACGATACCCTGACGGACAGAATGAAAGAATGAATGAGAAGCTGAGGACTGCAGGGCCTGCCCTGAACACAGGGTTGTGTTCTGTGCATGTGGGTGTGGAGGCTGGGGAGACAGTGAAGGAAATCAAGTCTGTTATCCAGAGAACATAAACCAGTAGCTTTTGGGTTAAACCAAGCCCACAGATGAAGGTGATTTAGCCTTCACAATATTACTAAAAGTTATTAAATTAGTTGTCAATAGTTAAAAATACAGACAATTCTTTTCTTGAAATATGGGGACCTCTGGCAGCCTAAGGCCTGAATTCCCACCAGCCAGTGGTTGGAGTTGGCACCCACGAGGGACAACGGGGGTTCTGTGCACTCCAGTGGGACCCAATCTATCAGCAGGTGGGCCTCCAGCATTTGTATTGCCTGTTTGGCTCCTATCAGTATCTCATTCTGCACCCACATCGAAATTAGTGTTTTTCAAAGTACAAACTGCAACCCCTTAGCATGAGGTGAAATCAATTTAGCGGGTCATGTTGTCATGTAAAGGAATGCAAGAGAGAAAATATCAGAGGGCTATCACATATAGTAAGAGTATACATGCTCTATTTTGTCCCTATCATGTGAGTCACTGTCACCGAGTTGGCAAATGACTACTCTACATTACATAGGGTTGTGTGGCTTACGTTAGTCAGAAGATAATTTCTGAAAACCTGCACCCGAGCAGACTTTTTGGTGCTGCGATTCCCTGTGTAAACTCCTAGGTATCTGGTATTCCGGGTGGTGAATCATTTCCCCCAGTTTGCTACTTTAGCAAGTTGCAAGATTTCTACACTGAGTGTTCTTAGAGAGGAGCCCTTACGCCCCAGGTGGTCCCTCTCACCCCTCCTGCTTCCGTGGAAGATAGACCCAGGAGGGTGGGTCCCAGACCCCTTTTGGCCCCAGCCCAGCCCCACCTCTCTGTCAGCGCCTTGCTCTGGGTGTCCCGGGCTGCCTGCAGGTCCTTCTCCAGCCGCTTCCGGGCCATCTCCAGCTGCTCCACCTCCCCCTGGGTCCACTTTCGGGGGCTGATGAAGCGCATCTCCTTCAGCAGCTCCTCCTTCTCATTGATGAGGATCAGCCGATCCCTTTCGGAGTCTAGCACTCCGGGCCAGGCCTCACTGTCAAGCTTGGCCAGCTGGATCTTCAGGTTGGCGATCCTGTGGGCAGAGAGGGGAGCATGACAGGTGTGCCCAGCGGCACTGTGGGAGCAGGGTAACAGACTGTGTTTCCAACGTTATGAGGTACCAGGAGCCATGACATCCTCAGAGCAATCTTTGGCAATGACTGTCTTCCCTTGGACCAGCAGGCCATCTCAAGGAACATATTTTCATCTAACAAACACAAATGGTGCCTACCGTGTGCCAACAGTGAGTAGGCTCTGCAGGGGTGGGAACGGGATGTAAACAAAGCAATGTCCTTGCCCTCAGGGATATTAAGCCTGGTAGAACAAAGAGCTGGATTCATCACCAGGCAATAGCCTCCTACCGCCAGCTATGTGACCTTGGGCAAGTCACTTCATCTCTCTGGAAGGAACAACAAAGGCTCCTTTGTCATGGGGTTGTGGTAGAACGTTTTCAGACATATTCCATGAACTCTCAAAGCACGGTATTTGGCACATAGTAAGCACTCAAATGAATGTTTCTGCTGCTATTGTTATTACCTGGTCTAACCACTTACTAGGTATATAACATTGGGTAAACTCCCCAAGACTTGTTCTGAAAATGAGCAATAATGTGCTCAGAGTGTCTGGCACATAACTCGTGCCCAACCAATGGCAGTCATGGACCCACTACAATGACAGACAGCAAACTCTGAAATTGGTAACTGTATGTTCCTAGCCCAAAGAATGGTGTCAGCACAGTGTGGTATAACCAACTGTGGATTTGGGGTCAGAGGCCTTCAGCCAAAGTCTTGGCTTTGGCCTTGACAGAAGGACCATTCTTTTTTTTTTTTAAATGTTTATTTTTATTTTTGAGAGAGAGAGAGAGAGCAAGCATGAGCAGGGGAGGGGAAGAGAGAGAGAGGGACATATGGAATCAGAAGCAGGCTCCAGACTCTGAGCTGTAGCATAGAGCCAGATGTAGGGTTCGAACTCACAAATCATGAGATCATGACCTGAGCTGAAGTTGGACGCTTAACCAACTGGACCACCCAGGTGCCCCTATAAAAAGACCATTCTTAAGAAATCATTTTGGTATCATAAGCTTCTAGTACACTGCCTGGTACACTGTAGGCACTTATTAAATGTTAAAAGGAAGGAGGTGGGAGCTCAATCCCTTAACTTTTTTGAGATGCAGTACCCTCACCTGTGAGGTGGAACATGCAAGGTGGGTTATGAGAACTGACTGAAAACTTATCATAAAGAGTTCTTTATACATTGCCAAGTGCCCATACAGATTAGGTATAATTACCTTTGGATCCAAGAAAGATTCACAATATAACTAAGATTATTGCTACAAATATCCAAAGAAATCATGATGTGACCCTTTAGGATTCAGCCTTTGCAAAAAGGGCTTTCAGCTATCACATCCTAGCCTCACCTGATCCATAAAGGGTGGTAAGAAATGGCAGTGAATCTGTTGGACAGATGTCTAGAAATAGGATATGGTTCACCTAAGACTGCAAGTCATAAACGTGGCCAATACATGTTGAGAGCCCAGGTCTCTGGACTCCCAGCTCAATCTTATCTGCAGATATGTGGCCCAACTGTTATTTTATAAAAACATCATTAGGGTCAAAATCTCCACACTGTGCAGTAAAAATCCCATGCAGACAAACACATCTAGGTTTGCTCACTGCCCAGCCAAATGTATCAGAGGGATTCTTAGAATTGATTAATTTAAATTCCGCATTCACAAAGAGAGTAATCTGGGATAACTTGGTAGCTTCCACCACTCTGAGGATGGAGTGGCGTGGACAGGTCTGGCGGGGGCTCCATTGCGCACAGTACACTGAAGGCTTGATCGATGCTTACATGTACTTTCTAGTGGTGCTTTCCCAGTGTTCCTTAACCTTCAGGCCACCTTTGGTGAAGCTGATGAAACTACTAGACTCACTCTGCAGAAATGCACATGTGACAAAAGGTGGCACACAGACCTTTCATTACAGCTACCTGCCCTCCTACCTGGAGTCCTGCAGCCTGCTTTCCATTCAGTGGCTGCTCTATCCTTGACACTTAAACTACCTCTGGGTGAAGAGTGAGGCTCAAAGCTGGATTATAGCAGATGAGCCAGGAAGCTTTGTGATGGGAGGTTTAATGGTTCAACCCCAGAGGGAAGATTTCAATTCTTCAGTCTCTCCAGAATGGATCTTCTAATATAGGCATCATTGCAGACTGGAATATATCCAGGGTTCAGAGTGGTCCCCCTTCAGAGGGGACACGTGGCTGTCCAAATGCAGAAGTCTTGTTGTTTTGCTGGGCCTCTAGGGGGAGCTGAAATAATGCACAGTGTTTTTTTTCTACCTGACCAGTATCCAATTTCTCCTCCTTCTGTTAACAACACTCCCAAGTTTTCTTTGGGATATCACTCCTCCAATACTTAAGTCTTTTGGTTCCCACAAAGCTGACCTCAATCCCCTTCCCAGAGTTGGGCACATGACCCATGCCTGGACCTTCAGAGAATTCTAATTCCTCCAACGCTGCAACAATAATTGGATCACTAGGAAAAGCCAGGGAGCCTCAAGCCTTAAACCTGTTAAATCTGTTGGGAAAGGTAGGTCCTCCTGCTGCTGGGGTTGCTAACCTGATAGTATATAACTCTAGAATTGCTGGGGGTCACCTTTACATTTTGAAAGGAAAGTCTGTCAACACAAAGGCAAGCAGGGTAGAGAAAAGAAGAGAAACTGAGTTTATGTAACCTGATTTGAATCCCTGGATCCAGCTGTGTCTGAAGCTGGTTTATCCTAGGACTTTGGAATTCAATAAGCTGACAAATTCCCTTTTTTATTTCTTCTACTTTCTATAGGATTTCTGTCATTGCTGCAAAGGGTTTTGCTGCTCACACAGAGTTGGCAGAGGGGCAGAACTAGGCACTGCCACACCCTACGTGGCCTGGCTTAGAATGCCATGGGCCAGGCAGTGTAACCTAAGGAGGAATGGATGTGATATTCCTAGCTTTATTCACCATTATACTCTGTGGGTTCTTACCCAGTAAGGCTGGCCCTGTGCATAGGAAGCTCACAGACTTGGAGCCAGATTGTCCAGAGTTCAAATTCTGACTCCATCATCTTGAAAAGTCATGATCTCATATTTTACCTTTCTCTTCTCTAACATGGAAATCATATAAGATGTGCTATAAGGTTGCTTTTAAAGTTAAATGAGATGATACACATACAAATGCTTTAATACAACACCTGGCCCATAACAGATGCTCTAAAAACATCAGGTTTGATTATTGTTTTAATTTTATTTGTGGCAGTGGAACCCAACTGCTTAGGAGACTGTGAAGCCACAAAATATCTAGTCACTGGGATCTACACTGTTTATAAGCACAGCTTGCTCCCAGTTGGGCAGGAGACACTCAAGTGTTCAGTATCCAGAGGTTTTTCTCCTATTGCTAAAACCTCAGAAGTGCTCCTTCAAACCAGACTACTCACAGGATCATTGGAAAACCCTGATTAGAGAAACTGAGCTCAGCAAGTGGAAAGATAACTAGGCTCTGAGATTTAACAGATTTGGGTGCAAAACACAGCTTCTACTTTTTATCTAGTGAAGTGTCCCTGGCTCAGTCATTTCCTGAGTTCAGAGAAGGTTAAAATATATGTGTCATAATAGTTATCTTCATAATCTTTGATTATTAAAGATGAGGTGTGTGAAAAGCCAGGCATGGGGCAGGCACTCTGCAATGGCAATTATCATTGTTGGAACCATCCCGCCCCCAGCCCCTAATTACCTTCTCTTAGCTTCTTCATATCGAAGGCGCAATCTGACCTTCTCTGCCAACTGATTGTTGCTGCTTGCGCCAAACTGGGGGAAAGAACAAAGTGGGGAATTATATGGCCACTGTGGCCGGTGCTGAGGTGGATTTCAAGAGCTCACGAGAGACTTGACAGCTTACGTGGGAAGTAGCTAAGAATAGCCCCCAATTACCAAGCTGGCTGTGTGATAGCAGGGAAGCTAGTCAGGCAAAGACACTTCCTGCAGGCTGTGGGAAGACCCTCAAATTCAGACATCTATCATTTCTAGAAGAGAAGCTGAGAGCCCAGAATATCATCTTGCAGCCCCGAATGGCTTAGAGCCCATTCAAGCCCCAGCAGCATGGAGGACAGCTGGTCAGGAGGAAACAGGGACAGCCAATATACAAGAAAGGCATCCTGGGGGTGCTGGGGAGGGGCTCAACTGAAAACCCAGGGAGGCTGCAGCCAGGACTGAAACACTGAGTGAGCGAGGAGAAGGTCCCAGAACCTTCAGGGAGGCCTACAGATGGCTTGTAGCTGGACACATGGGTGGTCTGGAGACAGAAGGGACAGCCCATTTGCCATGTCTTTCTGTCAAGAGTGGCAAGAAGCTACAAGGTTCACCCAAGCAGATATGGATATAGCTTCTCTTCACAAGTGGGGACACAGCTATATGAAGAATCAGATAGGAATAGCATTTAGCCATGGAGGCTGGGAGGCGACTTTGCTCAATGTCACCTGCTCTAGGAAAACAAAAGTTCTCCAAACATTCCAGATGGCTATGGGTCAGTCCTGCTCTAAAGCTTTCATGAAATAAATCTGGATGGTGCTCACACTATTCACTACGGTGCCCAGACTGAGCTTTTGAAGAGAGCTGTCTGAAAGCTGCATGTATTGTTTCAGGATGAACAGAAGGAAAGTATCATCTGCTTCACAGCTGGTGAAAGAAAAACAGAATGGTGTTGCAAATCTGTAGGAAGGAAACCAGAGAGAGCCACTGGTCCTTCACACATGCTTTCTGTGCAGCATCTAGAGACGCAAACGCACGGCTAGGCAACACTCAAGACTGAGGCTTTCCCCCCACAGTGCCGGCTTTCCCCCCACACCATCATCTCATGTCATCCTGGGGCCAAGAGGTCTGCAAGAGAATGGAGCTCCAGGAGGCCACGTTAGCAGGCAGGCCCACAGAGAGATACCAGTCACCTCCCAAGGTGAGAAATCAGAAGGCGGCTGCCCACTACGGCAGCCTCCTGGGTACAACTTCTACTCACACTTCCCGAGATGTCTGTCTGGGAGCTCACGTCCAGGTACTGTTTCGGCAGTGAGAAACCTGAACTTTCCAGAGAGCTGCTGCTGGACCACAGGTCAGAGTGGGACCCTCTGTCGATGAGGAAGCCGTCCTTCAGCATGGCGAGGCTCTAAGGAGGGGAGGGCAAGGTTAGCAACACAACTTTCTGGGAGGGAGCTCTGGTTTGTCACCCTCCATGTGCTCTCCTCTCCACTTCTGTAATGTGGTAGGAATCCTAGCTCACTCTGGATATTCCACTTACCTCGTAAAGAGCTGGCAGCAAGTGGGTGGTTGCTCAGTGCCGGGTACTGTGCTGGGTGTTCTACTCGGGAAAGACTGGCATGGACACTGGCTCTAGAGCTACACTGCCTGACTTGGAATCCTTGCTCTGCTACTTGCTAGCTGTGTGACCTGAGCTAGTTGATTAAGCTCTCTGTGCCTCAGTTCCCTCTCCTAAACAAATAGGGATAACCACAGGGCCTGTCTCATAGGACTACCATACTGATTTAATGAGATGGCCAGTATAACGTGCTAGTACAGCCAACGCTCAGTAATTGTCAGCTTTATCATCATCTTACTTAATCCTCACATCAGTCCTCTGAAAAATGACCTAGGATTATCCCCATTTCTTTGCTAAGGGAGTTGTTACATGCAAAGGCTGGCAAATGACAGAGCAGGATGTGGTCCTGGCCTGACTGAAGATGCAGTGCTCTTAAGTGAGAGTCATGATAGGAACTTGGCTCACGACTGTCCACGAGCGCCTGAACGCTTTCATCAGGTTGCTGCCCTGGGCAAGAGCTTCAAAATCATTCTGTTTGTCCTAGAGCATAAAGCTCCCTTCACTAAATCAGTTATAGCAACCCCAAGCCTGAGTCCTAATCTGCCAGTGGGAACACAAACAAACACAGTATCTCAGAGGTCAGGGTCATTCCAGTGAGGGGAGGCAGAGTGTCTAAGGGTTAAAAGAATAGACATCTGTGTCAGTGTTTATGGGTTCGAATCCTCGCTCCACCATGGACTCTGGGCTGTGTAGCAGTTATCTGTATGAAGGGAATAACCTAGGGCTGATGTAAGAGATAAGTGAGATATGATGCATGCAAAGTGTCCAGTTCAGTTGCCTGGCATGTTAAATCACACCGATTATCATTTGTCTGGTCCTCAGCAGAGGAAGAGCATGCAATGTAATTCTTATAAAGATGTTACATTTCGGTGTCAGGGCTGTGGATGTCAAAACCATCTCCCTCCGTTTGGTTCTTTGAGAAGTAAGCCAGGTGGCCAGAGCCAGTGACAAGGACATGACCTTTGGACTCGACCAGATGGCTCCTAGTACAACTCTGCCAGTGATGTGACTTTAGGCAAGCCACCTATCGCTTCTGATCCTCCTTTTCCTACTCTACACAGTGAGACTGAAAGCCCAAAAAACTAGTGATGAGAGCTCAGTGATCTGTGCAGCATGTGGAGGGAGTGTGAGTCTTGGCACAGAAAAGTGCTCCGGGCACACGTGGGCAGCTCTGTCAGTTAAGCATCCAACTTTGGCTCAGGTCATGATCTCATGGTTTGTGGGTTCAAGTCCCATGTCGGGCTCTGTGCTGACAGTGCAGAGCCCTGCTTAGGATTCTCTCTTTCTGCCCCTCCCCGATTTGTGTTTCTCTCTCAAAATAAATAAACTTAAAAAAAAAAAAAAGAAAGAAAAAGAAAGAAAGGTGCTTCGAAGAAATTGAGAGATGGGACCCACATCACTGGAGCTCTCGTACCTTAATGAGATCTTGCTTTTCTTTTTCTCCACAAGTGATGGCCTTTTTGATGGCTTTTGTTTCTCTCAACACAGCCTGAGCTTCATCCAGTTTGTAGCTGCCCTGAGCATCAGACATTTTCTTATCGATTCTAGGAAACAGTCAATGGGAAAGGTCAGAAAAAGATAGGGTGAGGGATGAAGTCTTCCCAGGGGATAAGACGACAGGCTTTGGTCCTGCAGCAAGGCTCCTCTCTGTCCTGCACACCCTCCCTTCCCCAGGTCTAGCTGCCTGTGAAATGTCCCACAGGGTGGGGCTGCAGAAGCAACACCACTCTTTAAGTCAAGGGTCCTCTAAGCATCAGCTCTTACAGGAAGTGTTCCCTGATTACCTCCCTGCTTCCTCCAGGCTAGGCTAGGTGTTCCCATCACACTGCACATAGCTGGACACTGCAATCATTATGTTGTGTTCTAGTTAGCAGGGCATGTGGTAGTATCCTTGACTTGTTACTAACAGGCTTGGGACAGGGGCAGGATTGAAAATGTTTAAGTAGTTTCGGTATCTGGCACAGGACAGTCCTTTAACTCAAGGTCTCTCAACCTCAGCATCTTGACATTTGGGTAGGATGATTCTTTGTTGTGGGGGGCTGTCCTGCACATTGTCGGGTATTTAGTAGCACCCTTGGCCTCTGCCCACTAGGTGCCAGTAGCATCTTGGCCCCAAGCTGTGACAACCAAAAATGCCTCCATACTTTGCCTAGTGTCCCTTTGGGAAGAAGAGCAAGATCTCCCTCAATTGAGACCCACTGCCTTTACTAAGTATTTGCTGAGTAAACACACAAGGAAGGAAAGGTGTGAATGATGGAAAACTCTCAGCCCTGCTACTTAGTAGTGTGACCTTGGGCATGGCACTTAACAAGAGGCTTAGCTTCCTTCTCTAAAATAACCTGGGTAATGTCACCTGCCCAGCCCATGTTCATGAAGCTGTTAGGAATGTCAAATGGGATAAGTGAAGGATGGATAATCAAGTGCACTGGGAGGTACGGGATAAAATCAGCTTATCTAGGCCCCATATACAGGTTCATTTTGGAGGGTGGAGGGGGAGTTTAAAAAAAAAAGAAAAAAGTTAAGGACCACAATGCCACTTTCTGAAGGTCAGACCAAACCAGAGATGGTGGAGGTCTCCACCCTCTGGGGAAGGAGGCTGGGGTATGGAGAACCTTCAGAAGGCAGAGATAAATTTTAACTGCTTCACACTTTCCCCAAAGGCTAGGCCTAAAGTTTTAGTCCCCAGTGGAGAAAAGGAAGTTTTACCGTCTGAGGGAACACCACAAACCCATTATTTCAGGATGAGAAACCGCTCACAGGCATTCCTCTCTGGTTTCCTGCTAGAAGCCAAATTGTCCTGGGCTAAAAATAACCTGAGTGGGGAATCACTGATGGGGGGAGCAGGTTTTCATCCTGGTCTGTCTGTGCCTCCGAACAGGAGAGAGGGAGAGGACTCGGGAGAGAACTCCGGTCTCAGCACGGCCCTCCCCCTTCCCTTCCCTTCCGTTATTTCAGCCTCCGTGGAGAGAAAACAAAGCCCCATTTATGTCTCCCCACTAAAAATAGCCTGTCTATTCCTTTCGAGGACTTGGGCCTGAGCAAGCCTGCCAGGTTGGCTAACACTGGTCTCAAATTTAGTTTGAAAAATTAGTCTAAATGGAGCTTTCTGCAGCAGAGGCGTGCCCGAGATGCTCTGTGGAGGGGAGGATCCCCCAGGATGGGAGGTGGCCCAGCCCCAAATGGAGGGGAGGAGGGCAGGGAAGATGCCATTTGCTTGAGTCGGGCTGGGGGCTCTGGGGAGGGGGCTGTGCCCAGCTGTCCTCTGCCAACAGGGTGAGGATGGCTTTGAATCCTCAGCAGGATAAGACAGAAGCGGTTTGTCTGCTGTGCCTTGGGCTCCTCAGACAGCCTCTACCTGATTTCCCTCAGGGGCCTTAGCAACCCAGGCTCTGGAATTTGGCTCCAGAGAGTAACTCCAAGAGGGAACACTCTTGGGATTGAGGTTGGGGGGAGGGGAACAAAGGGTCACCATTATGTGCTCAGTGAATGAATCTCTCTCTCTTTTTTTTTTAAGGGAAAGAAAAGTTATGTGGTTGTAGGGGAGAGGAGGGTGTAGCGGGCTGCATGTGTTCTAGAATTTCCAAATTATGCGGCTGTCCGGAGATTCACACACCCGGGAGCCACAGGACAGCCACGCAGAAGCAGGGCAGAGGCTCTGACAGCAGGCAGCTCTTCTTGGCAATTCTTACCTGGGCACGATGGCTTTGGGGGACGTGCCTTGAGATGCTGCACTGCTCCCCACCCACAGGGGTGACATGCCACATCGCATCTCCTTCCTGTTTACAAGGGCTCAGGGCAGCTGACAGGCCCAAGTCCTTTTGATTTTTCTTCTCAGGCTCCTAAGAGGCATCCTTCAATACTCATCAACATTTCCTTTTTTTAAAAAAACTGGGGCTGCTGACCGTGAACTGGACAAATGGAAGAGTTTCACCTTCCCCCATGCTCTGCAAAGGGAGGAGGCTGAGATAGAAGTGATTAGATCACCTCCCACCACTAGCTTCTGAAAAAGATCCCAAGGGACAAGGAAAGAGGCCTCATGTTTTCTGGGTATGATGAGGGGGTTATCCAGGATGAGGCCAGGAAGGAAGGTATTAGCACATGAGCTTCTAAATCCAACAGTCCTGGGTTCAAATTCCAGCTTTGATGCTTACCAACGGTGACGGGGGGGCTGGGGTATATTTTCACCCTCATCAGTGCCCTCATCTATAAAGTAGGGCAGAACAAAAACTTCTCTTAAAGGGGCAAAGACAATGAAACGAGGTGACTGATGCACAGTCATTGCCCAGCACAGACCCTAGCCCGGGGTAAGTACAGAGTTCATCTGAGTTCCTCCCCATATCCAAGCAGGCACCCAGCTAGAGGTCACCCCCAACACCCCTTACTGACCCTCACACTCACTGCCAGGCACTGTCACATGCTTTAGTTTCATCTTTACAGTGACTGATTTTTCAGATAAACCAAAGCTCAAGGGGATTATGTCATTTTTGTAAGGTCCCAGGGAACTGGGATTTGAACCCAGGCCATCTACCTCTTGCAGCTACATTCCTAACCCTCTATGCCAAGGTGTGTATTAAAGCAGATGTCTTCCTCCACAATGAATGTGGAGCCAGCTTTGAGCGTGGGCAGTCAGAACTACCAGGAGTCTTATCTGGGCCTGATATCAAACATCAGTTGGGCGGAGGGAGGAGAGAAAGAAGGCTTGTCTTTGGGGTTTCAGCATCAGCTTACCAAAGAACAAGAATTTTCAATGCTGCTACAGGGTGACAAAGTGGTAAAACAGGTTTGTGGTGGCTCAGAGAATAATGGGAAATGTTCTAACCAGAAGCTCCTGAGGAGTGCAGGAAGGGGGAGGAGGGAAAGGCCCCTGCGGTAAGATGACGTGGGAGTGAGTAGTCTTTCAACTATGTGTTCAGAATTTGGAGGGCTCATGAGGTTATTTGCTTTATAGGTCACGAGAAGGAATTTTCTAAGCTCATATTACTGCTCTCAACTGTCACTGGCATACGTACATATACATATATTAATAACATATGTACCTATATAAGCACACATATATAAACCATAATTTATAATAACTTGGAATACCAAAAGAACCCTATTATACACAATCTATAATACAAAGCCATACTTTCTTAAACCTTGTGTGGTGGGGGATTCATGGTAGCTCTCCCCTCCAGACAGTGGGGGCTTGAGGGATGGGAAGACGTGAACAAGAACCAACCAACCCCTCCAGTGGTCACAGTTCCCTGGATTAAGAGAGCCTACAGACAGACATCCCCAGGCTTGGAGCTGTGGCCACAGAGTGGTGGGGGTGAATTTGAGGTTCAGACAATGAGGAAGAGGTATAGTCAGACAGCGAGAAAAAGAAAGTGACTATAGAAGCTGCTGACTGTAGAGATGTGGCCTCCCTGGGAATCTACATGAGATGTCCCTTAGGACAGAGAAATCTCCTGGATGTTCTCCCTGGGGCTTCCAAGAGGGGTCCCAGGCACCTCTGTAATAACTTTACACTGAGTCCTTCAGACATACCGAACATGACTCAATGCAGGTTTGTTGCATGTGTGATTATTCCTAATAATAACGTGACTCAGTTTCCTCATCTATAAAGTGGAGTTGGCCAAAAGAACATTCTTTAGAGAGTTGCAGTGAGGATCAAATGAAGTCACTCAAGCAGAAACACTGAAAGTGCTTCCCGGCAGAGTAACTGCTCAACAAATCTTGCTAGTATAATAACGATAAATAGCCATCAACGCACCTGCTCTAAAGAAACAATAGAGATGTACCTTGGTGGCAAGTCAGCTTCTAGAAGTGAAAATTACACTTGGTCAAAGTTATCCTGGGAACTCCTTAAGTCATCTATCTAGCACAGTGTGCGTGGCACCGTGCATGCTCTTCTAGCGATTGGTGCTGGGGAAGAGGCCCTTGCTCCTACTGTGGGGCACATTCGCTGTTCGTCTTTAGGGGTTATGGGGAAAAAAAGTTTGTTTTTGTGTGTGTATCAGATCCTACTGGATCTACTGGAGGACATGAGACAGGTGCCCATAAGTGCCCAGCAATACTCGTTTCTATGACAGAATACTTGTTTTTACGGCTAAAACTCAACTGAACGGAACAGACTTTAATGGCTTCAGGAATTCAGAGATCTCTGGTTTGAAAGGATTCCTCTCTTCTCCTTCTGAACCTCAACCTTGGGTGACAGTATCCTGAGTAAACACCAGTGGAGTAGAACTGGGATCAAATGATTAGAGTGGCCTTAAAGAAGAGAGGGAGAGAGAGAGAGAGAGAAAGAGAGAGAGAGGCAGGAAGGGGATTACGGGGCATCCCTATGCTCTGCATGGCAGGGTAGACTTACTTCTTCAGGGTCTGAAAGCCACGCTCTTTGAACTGCAGCTCCTGCTGGAGGTGAACCATCTCTCTCTTTAGCTTGTTGACCTGGATGGCAGAAGGCCACACATGGGGCTAGATCAGAGGTTGATACAGAACTGCAGGCTGCCTTCTCCTCTAAGGGGAACCCAGAGCCCCCCCACTGCCCCTCAGGCCACAGGGTCACAACACTATCCCCTCAGTGATGCTGCCTTGGTCTCTGCAGCTGCTCGTATAGTCAGCATCCAAGCCTGGCTGTCCTGCAGGTCAATCCTGGCTAGCCCTCACTTGAGGGAAACAGGAAGTGGACAGGTGTCAGCTGACCTGGGATAGAACTTGGCCTTCCCACTGCCTTGCTGGACGACCTCTCTCGAGCCATCTCACCTCCCTGAGACTCCCTCTCCTGTTCTGATAGGTGAGGAATATGGTAATTCACAGGGCTGTGCATTACTTAAAGCAGGTAATGGGTATGGAGGTGAGAGGCAGTGCAATAACTTTAGAGGCAAGACATGGCCCGGGAGCTGGATTTGGCTTGCAGGAATGCTGTGTTTGGTTTGCAGTTATAAAATTTAAAAATTTAATTGCTAATAATGAAATATGGAGAGATTTCACATAATAAGCCTAAGTATAGCTCTCTTCTAAAAACAGAAGATCTGCCAACACTGAGCCCTCATTCCAGCACAGCCACAATAGGGTAGGGCTGAAACTCAACTACCCCTTTAGACAGGGCACACCTCTCTAAGGCTACACTCTTCCCAGCACACCCTACTGCTTCACCCCTGGCCCACTTCCCCCTTTTGTTTTCTTGTAGGCATGATTTTGGAAAACCTACCTGAAGTTATCACTGAGCCTGCGTTCCAAATACTGGCTTTCCCTTGAACAAGTCACTTAACTGCTGTGTCATAGTTCCACACCAGTAAAATGGGAATGATATTTATTCCCAAGAAGTCATGAAGTAATTATCATGAAGGAACTAAATAAGACAATATAGAATAAGCCATAGCTAGGAAGAGAGCACACTGCGTTAAGAACTGTAAGTTCTTTGACCTTGTGTAAGCCCTGAATCCTTGTGACCTTGGGGCAAGTTACCCTAAGCTTCTGTTTGCTCATCTTTAAGTGCAGATATGGACAACAGCTGCTTCGTGGGTTTGCTGGAGGAACACGAGACAGCATTCATGAAGCACTGAGCACCATGCTTGGTCTACAGTGATGTGGTCGCTGCTGTTACCATTACAATTACTGTGACAGCTGCTACCACTGCTACTACTGCTGTTATTTAGGGTCCTGTCAGTCAGCACCAGCCATCACTGCCTGGTGGAAGCGTCTCCTTTGGTCCAGTGGGTGGGCAAGTGGCCTGTGGCTGCCTCGGTGACCCCCCTTCCACAGTACAGGCAAAGAGGCCCTACCCGGGATTTTGCTGTGGCAATTTCAGCTTTCAGGATCTCAGGGTCATACTTAGAGCTGGATGACGAACCCGACACCACTGCAACGAAAAAGAAAAAAAAAAAGTTCTGTAGAAGAAACACATTTTGGGAGAGATGGCTTATTTGGACATCTACATAAACCCAGAAAAGAATCACTAATCATGAATAAACTAAATGCCCAACAAGGGGGGGGATTTTTATTTTTCATTTTTTTAAGTTTATTTATTTATTTTGAGACAGAGAGCACACAAGCAGGGGAGGAGCAGAGACAGGGAGAGAAGGACTCCCAAGCAGGCTCTGCACCATCACCGCAGAGCCGGATGTGGGGCTTGAACTCATGAACTCTGAGATTGTGACCTGAGCTGAGATCAAGAGTCAGACGCTTAGCAAAAAGGGGAATTTTGCTAAATAAATATGGTACATGCATAAGTGACGATGATACAACTTAACGTGATTTAAAACAATTGTACGCAGGAATTCTGAACAAGGGAAAATGTCCAAAACTTACTGCCACCTGAAAACAGTAGTTTATAAAAAGCCATAAAGAGTAACTTAAATTTGTTAAATATACACAGTTAACAAACATATATATACACATATGCATCTAGAAAAAGCACAGAAAGAAATATACCAAAAAGATAATGTTGATATGTAGAGATATGGATGATACATAAGACCAATTTTCATCTTTGTATTTTTATTTTCCACACTAAGAGGAATACATTTTTATAATCAGAAAAATAACTAAAAGTATTATTTATTGTACTCTACAATATTATTGTACTTTAAAAAAATTTACTTGAGAGCATGCAAGCAGGGGAGAGGGAGAGAACTCCATGCTCAGTGCAGAGCCCAAGGTGGGGCTCAATCCCACAACCCTGAGATCATGACCTGAACGGATGTCAAGAGTTATCAAGAAGCGCTTAACCAACTGAGTCACCCAGGTGCCCCCTTAATGTACATTTTTAAGGGAAAATAAATTACCCATAACCCCACCACCCTAATTCAATTCTCTTTTCTCAAAGTTACTTTGATTATCCACAGTTGTTATGTAGTTGTAATTACTGCATTAAAAAAATTTTAAAGTAGTATTTATGTCTTGAAAAGATATTTTAAGGCTTACAAAAATGAACATAACAGAGTAAAATACATTTGAAGTAAGGACATGAGACGAAGGGAAGACAAGAATGAGGAATCACATCCACAGGTGTGAGGTTAGTTAGGGCTCATGCAAACATGGAGGGTCCCCTTCCTTACCAGACACCACAAACCTGGCTCTGAGCTTCCTAACTGGTGATGTGAAGAGGGAAAGGGGCCCAATGTACAATTCATGGTGTCCTTAATATAAACACAACCTCACTGTTCACGAAAAGGATAGGGGTTCTTAGTATGGAGGCCAGAGAAGAGCTTCTCCCCTGGGGCCTTAATCCCAACCAGGTGTGCAATTCCATCATTTCCTACCCCCCCGCCCCCCACCCCTCACATCCCACCTAGTGTCTTCTGGACACTATGTGTGCACGTGCACAGTGAGATCAACTGCTGGGGCCTGGAGTTTCCTGAGGACAGAGACTGGTGGCAATTTCCATTGTTGGGAGGTAGGGCCTTCTGGTTATGCACGAGTTAAAATGGAACACTGAAAAGTTCCGGAGAAGGGAAATAAAACTGTCTGCATAATAACAGTAAAGATGATAGGCGGTGTTGCCTTTGTGCCCAGTTTACAGTGATGATGAGGAGGAGGAGGAGGCTTTACCAGAAGAGATGGGTGGTGGGAACATCTGGATGGGTGGGGAAGACCTTGCAGTCCCCATTGTCAGCTTGGAATAGGGACTTCAGAATCACATGTTTGTTTCCAACTGGAAGCTTTCATTTCCTGCATTCTAATTCCTCTGATGTTTGCTGAACTTAGGGATTTCAGGGTGGGATTTGGCTGGATACATAGCTGGAGGCAGTGATTTAAGCAATTTCCCCCTGACAGTCTTTTTTCAACAAAATTTTAAGGTCATTAATATTTGTTACCCACTGATTAATTGTAAGAACATGATGAAAAGAGTCACTGGTGAAGAAAAAAGATGGGGATACACTCAAAAGGGGGTATCCATTCTATGAGCACCCCATCCTGTCAACCACTCTACTAACCAGGCTGTGCCACTGGACTTGGGTCTACACCACAGGGAACTGTAAACGAGAGAGTGTTAGCAGCCTGGGAGAACCCATGAAGAACTGTAAGACCTACCCTAACAGGGAGAGCATGACTGTGGGGACCAGAAACACCAGTGCTGATCTGTGGAAAGTGGGTGTGCTCCTTGGACATGCTCAAAAATCTTGGAGGGAAGGGAACCCAAAAAAGGACAGACTCCTGGGGCACCTGGGTGGTTCAGTCGGTTGAGCATCTGACTTCGGCTCAGGTCATGAGCTTGCGGTTCGTAAGTTCGAGCCCCACGTTGGGCTCTCTGCTGTCAGTACAGAGTCTGCTTTAGATCCTCTGTCTCCCTCTCTCTGCCCCTCCCCTGCTTGCTCTCTCTTTCAAAAATAAATATTTTTAAAAGTTAATGAAAAAAAAAAGGAGAGGCTTGATTTTATTCCTATTAAAAAAAAAAAAAGAACGGACTC